TTAATGTCTAATTTATAATTTAGATAACATTTCAGGCCTAAAGAAAGACCTGCAATATACAGATTTAGCTCTTGCATAATGTATGTTTAAAGGAGCTAAATCGCTAATATTTGGGACCTAGAAATTGACAAAAGTGGGTCGCAACGCATATAATACTGTAATATGAATGTATATAAACTGATTTACATTCAATGGTTTCGGTTTTTACTCCAATTTCAAATCAGTTATGTTCTAGCGTCTGGTTATTCCAGTCTACATACGCCATTTGATTTGGTGCAATGTGTCTAGCCTCATCCCTCGAGTCTCTTGTTACAACTGGGGCTGAAGCGCATTATGGTACATGATTCGTGTACCAAAGGTAAAATGTTTATTTTGTCTTAAATATTGGATATCAAAAGCCCATCTTTTTCCGGTAAGATCACAACATGAATGTTGATTTAATTTGACAAATAAATCATGTTTTCAATGTTGAAAATTTTGGATGATATAGAGTTAGAGACTTAGCTACTTTAAGTAAAGTTTAAATTGTTGTATCTAAAGTGTCTACAATTAACTGCTGCCGGTACTTCTTTGTGTCAAGATCTTGATAAATCAAATCTTATTTATTATCTAAATTGACACGCCGAGAAAGTTCATCAGGATTTTCCGACATGGTATCCCCTTGTCAGTGGTGCAGAACGGCGGGCCTGACAAGGACAGCTGTCTAGTCCTTCGGATGAGATGAAAAACCCGAGGTCCCGTGTATACATTTGTATGCACGTAAAAGATCCCTTGGCAGTTGGAATTCGATATAAGAGTAGGCGATAGTGCAGCTGCCCGGGCACACTATATGGCGTATGCTCGTCTTCATTAGCCCAGTATAGGAGCAGAACAGTAGGACGTTAAACCCCATTTCATTTAATTTCATTTCTAAATTGACATGATCATTATTTCCTGTTAGAGATGAAACAGGAAATGGGATTTGAATAAATTTTGAGTTTTGCTTCCTCTCTGGTATTAGTTTACATTTATTATTGTGTCAGGATCTCTGTCAAGTGTTCATTTCTTCACAACATTTGCATCATTAGAACTTTTAAGCTGTAAGTTATATTGTACTACATCTACTTATTTAAAGCAAAAAGAAAGCAAGACTGTTAGAAGGTGTGTTTCATTGGCTAGGTTTGATGTATCTTGGTTTTCGATTTCTCTCATACATGGGCATCTGCAAGAGGGTTGGTTGGTACAAGGATCTCTTGCCTCAATCTACTGGGAATGTGTCTTTTGCTTTCTTATTGTGCATTATGTAAGAGCTAAATCTGCCTATTGCAGGTATTTCTTTTGGCTTCATTTCAAAATTTAAATGTTCTATGAATTATTAATTAGGCATTTATTTACATAACAAGCCAGTAATCAAAATCAATTCTCTAGACTATTGGATATAAAATGGATACTTATTTGTCATTTACTGTTCATACGATAATGAACAATCTACGGTATGCTAGATCTTGTCAAACCTTAAAACACTCATAACTTCACTAAGAAAAAAGTAATTTGAATGAAATTTTCAGTATATTAATATTTCATTATCTAATTTTGAACTATTATAGCAAGAATGGACAGCTCTTTATCTAAATCTTACATAATGCATCTTTATTGGTACTTGTATGTTCATTGATCTTGTAGTTTAAGTCGATTTGATTTTTTTGCGGGGGGTGGGGGGGGTATTTAAAATAGACCTAAATAGAGAAGGTTTTGCTATTCTCAGGGTCAGACATTTATTTGTGTTGACCCCATTCCGACTTTTATTAAATGCACCCCGTAGATTTTTATACGTTCACAATTTGTTTGTGGACACTCTACAGGTCACAATTTTTATCTGATTTTGACGAAACTTGAAATATAGGTTTATATCCCAAAGATATTGGCATGTATCGTACCGTAACTTCATGGATTATGGCCCCTGATTGTACGAAAAATCATGTTTTTAGCTTTTGGACATTTTAAGAGGTCACAATTTTTATCCGGTTTTGATAAAACTTGAAATGTATGTTTATAGAGATCTCAGTTCCTGGATTATTGCCCCTGATTGTACGAAAAAATCGTGTTTTTAGCTTGTGGTCCCTCTATAGGTCACAATTTTTATTTGATTTAAAAAAAACGTTTGAATATATCACTGTTACAAAATAATGAAGGTTGAATTCGAATTTTGTGAAAATTGAACCGAGACTGCCAGACAAAATGGCCGCTTCGTGTACGCAAATAATGTTAAAGTATGAAATATCAAGGTTGTGGACCCTCTAGAGGTCACAATTTTGATCCGATTTATATCCCAACAATTTCGGTTACGTTAGTTATTTGCGCGTATCGGTCCGCAACTTCATGGATTATTGCCCCAGATTGAACAAAAAAATCACGTCTTTTAGCTTGTGGGCCATTTACAGGTCACAATTTTTATGTAATTTTAAAAATCATTTTAATATTTCATCGTTACACCTTGATGATCATAAAAATCAAACCGAAACTGCCTGACCAAATGGCAGCTGCTTGAACGCAAATAGTGTAAAAGTATGTAATACAAAGGTTTTGGACCCTCTAGAGGTCACAGTTTTTGTCCGATTTTGATATCACTTAAAATATATGTTTATATCCCCAAGATCTCAGTTCCTTTCGATATTCTTGGATTATGGCCCCCGATTGTTTGAAAAATTGTGTTTTTGTTTTTTAGTTTGTTCTCTATCCATCTCTTGCAAAATGTGGGCGTATCTTGCATGGCAACGGCTGGTTATTTAATAAATTGATATTGGCTAAACTGACAAATAATGCCAGATCTTGTGATTGCGAGAGTAAGCTTACAAGTAGGTACATGTTGGTCTATTTGTACAGTTAGAATTATATAATTCAGTTGATCAAAAGATGAGGGGAAAAAATGAGTTTGTAGTTTCTATTTTAATGACGTTAAAAATTAATTGATAAAGTTTCTGTCTCCTCAAAATTACCTTTGATTGACTTGGCTATTGAATTTGTACTTTCATTGGTGTGCATGTATTTATGTTTGAATTTTATAAAGAGGGAGGTTTTGACTTTTTGTGTATAATAAAGAATCTGTGATTTGGTACTGTCAGAAAAAATTAACGCTGATTGGTTAATCAAATGTCTGAGGTCACAGGGTCAAAAGCCGCTTGTATGACCTCTGACACGACCTTCCACTACAACCAGTCTGATCTTCATGTAGTAGAGGCCATCAAAAGTATAAAAAAAAAGGAAACGAAATATAGATCTGTTGAGAGCCAAGTCAGAGCCTAGTACTAAGCAGAAAGGTGCTTTTATGACCATGTAATCCCAATCTAATTAAAATATAGATCTATATTTCATTTCGTTTTTATACGCCCACATTGAAATGTGGTTGTATATTGTCGTCGCCCCCGTCCGGTGCTTTTATGACCATGTAATCCCAATCTAATTAAAATATAGATCTATATTTCATTTCGTTTTTATACGCCCACATTGAAATGTGGTTGTATATTGTCGTCGCCCCCGTCCGTCCGTCCACAATTGCTTGTGGACGCTCTAGAGGCTAAAGTTAATATCCGATTGACTTTAAATTTATATACAGTGTTTAAGGCCATGAAACGAAAAAGCCTATTGATTTTCAGCGATTTCCGATAATTACTGCCAGAGTTATGGCCCTTAATCACTTCAAAAAATCTTGTGGACACTCTAAAGGCCAAAGTTAATATCCGAATGACTTTAAATTTATACACAGTGCTTAAGGTCATGAGACGATGAATCCTATTGATTTTCAGTGATTTCAGATAATTACTGCCAGACTTATGGCCCTTGATCACTTTGAAAAATCTTGTGGACGCTCTATAGGCTAAAGTTAATATCCGATTGACTTTAAATTTATACACAGTGTTTAAGGTCATGAGACATAGACGTCTATTCAATTTCAGCGATTTTCGATAATTACTGCCAGAGTTATGGCCCTTGATCACTTCAAAAAATCTTGTGGACGCTCTAAAGGCCAAAGTTAATATCCGATTGACTTTAAATTTATACACAGTGTTTAAGGTCATGAGACGAAGAAGCCTATTGGTTTTCAGCGATTTCCGATAATTACTGCCAGAGTTGACTTCAGATTGATACACAGAGTTTAACAGCTTGAGACGAACAGCTAAATCCAAGATATTAAAAGTTTTGTATACTAAACGTTAGCATGGGGCAGAACTTTATAAAAAACAAACAAATTCTAATGGTTTTCTAATAATTACTTCATGAGTCGTTGCTCTTAATCAGATTTTAGTGTATTATAAATGTTTCATTACCGAAAAAAGTAAAAATATGCGACAACCCTAGTTGACTGCCCGGACGATTTAGCTGCTGTGGGCGCATGTTTTGTTGCCTGGCAACCTATCTTTTATACTTTCGATGGCCTACACTACATGTAGATCTAACAAGTTATAGTGGGAGTTCACGTTCTATGACGTCAGGTACCAAGCAAGCGACATTTGACCCGATTACGTCAGTCATTCGATTAACCAATTAGCGACCGCCATGTATTTTTATCTATTTTTGCTTTGTTTTGATTTCTATTGCCGCTAATGTCTACCAACAGTTCCGCACAAAAAAGGTCAAACGCTCGATTCGACAGACCATTTGATTGGCTGACCCCTTATTTCAAGCAGAACACGAGTTAAATAACAACGCTTCCAGATCCAAGTGTAGTAAAGACAAGTAAAATCGAAATTTTGAACCATAAAAACGAAACGAAATAGGATCTGTGTTTTAATCAGATCGATGTAATCCTAAAGCCAAATCTAAAAATATTTTATTTTCATCTCAAAGAGCGCGTTTGTGTAAACTTTATTAACATAACATGCAAGTATTCTGACCACTCTTATTGACAACAAAGCTGCTGGTAGATTACATGCAGGTTTTGTAGCCAGAAAAAGATACTAAAAACAACTTATTATTAAATGGCAGTCCATATTGTTTCAATTAATGCATTTTAATTATTTCAGTTCAAGACATGGATGGAAACCAGAATTTAACTAGATCTGTGACTGAGGTCACAGAGACGGATGTTTTCATTATTGAGGACGTCTATTAATGACCTCTAGAATTAGGTCTACATGTCAACAAACTTATATCGGATGTACATATGTAAACAAATGTAGTCAATCAGGAATGTCACACTTTACCAAGTTCCTTCCTTATTTTCCTTATTTACTGTTTATTGTTATTTGGCCAGGCGTGGTGTCTTTATCTTGCACAGGACGTAAGTATTTGAAATATATAAAATAATTTAAAACCTCTATATATTGTAACAGAAAACTTTACCGACAATAGCTCTAGATTATCAATACAAAGTATTGAAAGAGAACTCCAGCTGATTTTAACTTCAGGGTGTGTGTGGTTGAAATTATTTGAATTTTGAGATAAAATTCAAAATATCTGTAATGGCTGGAGTTTTTCTTTAACTTCTTGATCAGATCAGGTCACTGGACTACTTGCAATTGTAACAACTGTGATTGATTTGGCCCCCACCAAACACAGTTATGTTTACAAATATCTCTAATGGTCATAGTTCTCCTTTTACTTCTTGATCTGCAATGGACTATAGTTGATTTGGCCGCCACCTAACATAGTTGTTTTCAAATATGTGTAATGGCTCAGGTTCTCCTTTAACTTCTTGATCTGCATGAATGGACTATAGTTGATTTGGCCCCCACTTAACACAGTTATGTTTTCAAACAGCTGTAATAGCGCGAGTTCTCCTTTAACTTCTTGATCTGCAATGGACTATAGTTGATTTAGCCCTCACTTAACACAGTTATGTTTTCAAATATCTGTAATGGCTCCGTTCTCCTTTTACTTCTTGATCTGCAATGGACTATAGTTGATTTAGCCCTCACTAAACACAGTTATGTTTTCAAAAATCTGTAATGGCTCGAGTTCTCCTTTAACTTCTTGATATGCAATGGGCTATAGTTGATTTGGCCCCAACTTAATACAGTTATGTTTTCAAATATCTGTAATGGCTCGAGTTCTCCTTTAACTTCTTGATCTGCAATGGACAATAGTTGATTTGACCTCCACTTAACACAGTCCATGTATACATTGGCATGCACGTAAAAGATCCCTGGGCAGTTGGATCTCGATATAAGAGTGGGCCATAGTGCCGCTGCCCAGGCAAAATTTTCCTCATAGCACACTGTATGGCCTATGCCCGTCTTCATTAGCCCAGTCGGAGCAGAATAGTAGGACGTTAAACCCCATTTCATTTCATTTGGTAATGACTCGAGTTCTCTTTCAACTTCTTAATCTGTAATGGACTATAGTTGATTTGAATTGTGTACAAAGAATTAAAGAATAATGATTACCCATGGTTTTTATTGTAGAAACAACAATTTGTGCTGAAAATTCAACAGATTGTTATGTCAGATGTAAAGAGAATTCTACCAATGTTTATTTTGTGTCTGATGATCAGCGTTGTGCCAGTGCTGAAAACTTTAACTTAAGTTCTGATGGAAGATGGAAGGTTAACACTAGCACAACCGGAGACAGGACATTTTCTTGCTGTTCAGAGCATCAGTCTATGATATGTAGTTTAACTCTCATAATATATGGTAAATAAAATAAATATGGTCTTTTGATGGTGTTCACTCACCCTCCCTCACTAAGACTCAATTGAATTTGAAAACTAGTAAAAAAGAAAGCATCCACTACTTATCAACATATAATAATTAACTCTACACTCTTTGTAACTGAGTCGAAAGTGCATCAATTCGTGACACATTTTATCAATCAGACATCAATTAATGTCTTCAGTCTGCTATAATGAGCTGATTAAGATCCCTGGTACAAATTAATCAATTACATGTAGTATACAAACTGAACTGTTTGTAAGCTGTGATACTTGACTGCTTGGCTTAAATAAAATCTTGGGAGAGTATTCTTTCCACTTCTCATATATACTTAAGACAAGGTCTTTCTGCTCAGAATTGGTATAGTAACCAGGTCTTTGTGGTGCCTTTATCATTTTCAATTGTTAAAAAAAAACCTAAGCTTATCCAAATTTAGCCTCCTGCCCATTGAAATTTATTCTTATTCGTGCTTTTATTGCTGATAAGTTCAATGTGTCATGCCATCCGTACCCATCATTTTTTATACATCCACATTTATTTCATGAAATGGAGTTATTTCTTTATGTGAATTTACAAAACTGTGTGAACATAATAGAATTGTTTAAAGGTTTGTGGTATTGTTCATTGGGGTATAAAGAAAAACTATTGATTTTCTGATCTTTTTCCAAAGTTATCTTTCTGTTCACATTTTGACTGTTAATTAAAGCTTGGGACAGAGTTTGTACTGTTTTTCTTTTCGATAATTGCCCTGCAGGAATTTTGAAAAAGGTTTTAGTGTTAACAGAAAAGACTTTGCTGCTGGGTGGGGTGGGGGATGTTTTATTGAGCCTAATAAGTCCCATTCTATGTTTATAGTACCCTTTCTAGCTAGTACAATTTGATCTATTTTCCATATACATGTACTAGAATCTTTGTTTTTCACAATATTTTCTTACACAAATTTTGATTTTAATATTTGATTATATAGAAATACCCAGACCAGTAAATGATTTAAGTTGTAAAGTTCACCTTGAAAAAGATCATGAATTGCAGACGGCTTCAGCTTACTGTGATGTTCAACAAAACGGGTCTTTTGCCTTAGCTCTCAACATTACATCAAAATACTACAGGTATGTCAAGAATATACTTCAAAAATAATATACAGATTGCAAGTGTAGGCTAATATGTAACTTATGTGCATAAACTGAACAGAAATAAGCCTTTGGAACACCAGAACTGTATGTCTACCGGTAATTGAGGTAGGATGTAGATGATTGGCATTTTCTCCTTAGGCTATGTACAGATAAGCAATTTGATTTGTCAGTGCTTTGGAATATGCTACTTCTGATTCTTATTAGAACCATGGCTAAGTTTTATAATGAGCATTTTCTGCTGAGGTTATACAGACTGATAAGTAATTTGATTGCTCGATGCTTTATAAACAGATGATTAATGAGTGTCATCTATTTTTGGGGGATTGGAGTCCCAGTGCCTCAGTGGGTAGAATGTTTGCTTGCTAACCGGGAGGTCCAGTGTTGGGGACAAAAAAAATGAGGTCATGTGTATACATTGGCGTGCACGTAAAAGAACCCTTGACAGTTGGAATTTGATATAAGAGTAGGCCATAGCGCCGCAGTCCGAGCAAAATTTCCCTCATAGCACAATGTATGGTGTATGTCCGTCTTCATTAGTCCAGTAGGAGCAGAACAGTAGGACGTTAAACCACATTTCATTCATTTTTATTTGGGGATTGAGGCAGGGGACATCAGCCTCACTGTTGTCTTGTTTAAATATCGTACCTTACTTGAAATCTTCTTCACATTGAATTTTTTTAATTTTACGTAAGCATACAATTTTACCTTTTCCAGGGCAGAATGTGAGAATATAACAGATACAAAATTTAAATGTCCATTTGAAAATGTGCAGACATTGAGCTTTTTATATACAATTATTGTTAGTGCATCTCAACCAACATCTTGTACTTATTGTGGCAATGAAACAGCTGAAAAACAATTTCCAATTTCACCTTTAAAAAACAGTAAGTTTTGAAAACAGCTCAAATATATTAGTAGCTGTTTGTGTTATAGTTTATAATAAACTGTATTACTCTATCCAGTTCCTAAATGCCTATATATTCCTTATTATTATTATAGACTGGGCCAAACTTAAGCGAAAATCACTAAAATAGATTTTAGCTAAAATCAAAATGAAACTTTGAATTTTATGCGTTTCACGAAGATCGATTGTAACTTAAAATGAAATTTTAATAGATTTTAGTTAAAATTACTTGTGCATGCAGCCTACACAGTGCACATTTCCAATGCAGAGCTTAAAACTGTTGACAGGTTAACTAACGGTTAGCAATGTTTGCACATGGTCAGGCAGTCGTATAGAGATGAAACTAGATGCTTTCGTGATCTTGGATTTTGATTTAGGCCTACTAGCAGGCTTTAATGGAAATAAAGCTTATCGATGAACTAAATCAACTAAATTTCGTAGTTTTATGGTATATTTGACAACAGAAGCTATTGAGAATTGTCACTTACAAACATATGATATTTATGGATGTGTTTTGAGAATTTATAAAACATGATTAATATTTTGAAAGGTGAATAAACCGAGCATAGCGATGTAAGGTCAGACTCAACCGACGGAAATTGGATGTTTTACCGACTAACTTATTGTCAAATTTAACGTCTCCGAAACTAATCCACCAAATAGCCATTGTTCCGATGCCTAGATTTAAGATAGGTTGCCAGGCAACGAAACATACGCCCACAGCAGCTAAATCGTCCGAGCAATCGACAAGGGTTGTCACATATTTATGCTTTTGTAGGTAATAGGAGCATTTACAAGACACTTATATCAATTTGATACCGTTTGGATGTTCACAAGGTTCAACACAATGAAACAAGGGCCATAACTCTAGATGTAATTGATGGAAATTGTTGAAATCCAATAGGCTTATTTGTTGTACTGATCTAAATGCATATAAATTTCATGTAGCTCAGATCATCATCACTGTTGTCGATAGAGCGTTCACAAAGTGAAACAAGGGTCATAAGTCTAGAAGTAATTAACAGAAATTGTTGAAATTCAATAGGCTTCTTCATTTTAGTGATCTAAATAAAGCATATTAATGGAAATTGTAGAAATTCAATAGGATTCTTTGATTTAGTGATCTAAAACAGAATATAAATTTCATGTAGGTCGGATGATTACTTTTGAACAGGCATCGATATTTCAGCGCACATGCGCACGGCGTGCACAGGCACATTTGCTTGAAAAATTTTTTTTGCAGGCACATTTTTAAAGATGTAGCCACGCTGGGCGGCGCCTGCGTATTTAAACCCCTTCGTCCTTCTCTGTACACAAACTCGGCGCTCGAAATTTACCACAGCAATTAAACGGCAAAGCCATGGTAAAAACCGACGTACGCAAACCATGTCTGTCAAGGCATAATTAATTTTTGTGTGCCGTAGTAGACCCTATCATCCCAAATTAGTTTAAAGAAAGATGTATTGGTATTTTGTTTATTTATACTTAGAAGATGTGTAGGCCTAGGTCTATTCATTTTACAATTATTCTACGGTCTTTATATTTGTTTATTTGCCGTAAATAGGTCACCCAGACCAATTTACGGCACTCCAATGTTAAAGGTTTGAATGTCGTAATTGTCCAACATGTGCCTGCAAATTTTCACGATGATCTTATTTTATTTCTTACCTGTGTTGACCGTGGATTTGCTACGGCCCGAGAGTAGGACTAGGAGGACGATGAGAGCTTTCTCAGTTTCTGCCTGACCTGATTCTCATTCCACCGTAATAATAATAATATTCGTGAGACACGTACAACAACTTTACAAACAAGTCAAATAATACAACGTGTTTTAATTATCAACATCTACTCGTTGTCATAATTGGTTGTACTCAAATAAAACACAAACACCGTTTTAATAATTTTTAATCTCAAAGTAATAAAGTAATATTTGAAAAAAAAACCCAACAAAACAATAAATAATGAAAGGTCCTCAACTTATCTATCCAGAGAAGCAGAGTGGGGCGGGACAATTTTATGCTCGGTCGGGTGGTGTCAAAAAGTTTTTAGATCCCTGTATCATTGATGAAAATTAAGTGAATTTGGTAAAATTTGAATATATAAATGGAAATTTGATTTGCACTGAACCAAATACAAAAGGCAGCAGATGCTCTGAAAATACACCAAGAAGGGTTTAATTTTCATAAAAGACCACGCCCCCTCCCAAAATTTGTTTTGCCTCGCTCCGCTCGCCAAATATATTTTCACACCAGTCACCAAATCCTGGCTACATTTGTGTGTTTCAGTATGACCCTGCAGGCACATTTTATAGAGCCCTGCTTTTGAAATTTCGAAGTGGACATATATACTGAGCGCCATGGAAAACGCATCACTTTTTTTTCCCAAATATTTTATTACTAGGTGGTTTTGTATGTATAATATTATGCAATACTATGAACTATTGTTTCACACAATGCTCCCAAAAGCAAAAAATATCGGCCCGTGTGCACATAAAAAATTGCACGAGATGCACATGAAAAACCCAATATTCACGTGCAGCATTGTGTGTGAGCCCTTTAAAAGCATGTTTTCAACTTAATGTGCAGTACATGAACTGTGAAACGTCAATCTGTCGTAATTTGTTGTTGGACGTGTGAAGGAATCAAGCTAGAGATGCCGAGACTTACTGAGAATCAACGGAATGAAGCCATGGGAATGTCCAGGGCTGGCATGTCTACACGTGCTATTGCCAGACACTTTAATTGTCATCAGTCCATTATTGTAAGGTTGGTGGAACGTGTTCGAGTTACTGGAGCAACACATGACCGTCAACGTCCTGGTCCACAACGCGTTACAGTCCAGGTTCAAGACCGCTACATCCGGGTCACTCATCTGTGTGACAGATTCCACCCAGCGACTCGAACAGGTGCAGCAGTCGTTGGAAGACAAGGACCAGTAAGTGCCAACACCGTAAGACGTCGTCTAAGTGAAGTAGATCTCCGGGCACGACGAACTTATGTTGGAGCTGTCGACAGGGATGATCACCGTCAGTGGCATTTGATATGGGCTCAAGGACACCAGACATGGAGAAGAATAGACTGACAAAGTGTGCTCTTCAGTGATGAGAGTCGCTTTCATCTTTATCACGCTGATGGCCGTCAACGTGTGTGGAGACGTCTTGGGGAACGTCTTGCAGACTGCTGCATCTTCGAAACGAATCGATGGGGTGGGGGAAGTGGAATGGTGATGGGAGGCTTCACATTTCATCACTGGACCGCCCTACACATTTGCAGGGGTCGCGTTAATGCTGTAGCCTACCGTGATGATGGCCCGTGGAGGACACACGCGCTACTGACATCTGTGTCGTACTTTTGGTTTTGACCCCTCTGACTTTGTACCCTTGATTACAGATCAAACATCCATAAGTGTACAAATGTGTTGTTATTGATGTGTTCCCATTTGAATATTGTTCACAATAAGAAACAAAATAAATAAGATATTTTTACAGGATCATTTTGTTATACGAAAAACTAAGTGATGCGTTTTCCATGCCGCTCAGTATATATATAAAAATGTATAGATATAATCCTCATATGCCCTTTAGAAATGAAAGTCTGCCACAGTCCTTATTGTATAAGGCCTATCTATCTTATTCAATTAAAAATTATTTCCCCCCCCCCCCCCCAAAAAAAAAAAAAAAAAATACACATGGCTCCTGATACTACTCACTGATTTATGTTATTTTATTAACGTAAGCCTTCACTAAACATACATTATCCAAGAGCTAAATCTGCCTATTGAAGGTCTTCCTTTAGGCCTTAAATGTTATCTAAGTTATTAATTAGACATTAATTAACTTATCAAGATCATAATCAACTCTCTAAACCATCGTTAGCCTGCGATATTAACTTATTAAGTGGATTTGAATACGTTTTTTTTTATAAAATGGATAATCAAGACTTTGTTTATTATGGTACCACCGGTAGTAATGACAATCGAGGCTAGCCTAAAATTGAATCACTAATATCTTGGTTCAAAGTGAAGCAATTTTCAGCATATTCTGTTGTCATTATCTATGTTTAACTATTTTAGCGAGAACTGTCGACTCTTTATCTAATCTTACCTAATGTCCCTTTAAGTAATAATAATAAATTTAATATATTGAAATTTATTTAATTTCAAATAGGCCTATAAAATTTTGCTCCAACATTGTTTCACTGTGTACTTTTTATGATTTATGTTCTGTTAATTACTGAAGGCCACTAACATTTTTCAATAAACAGATTTGAGCTTATATTGAATTATTTTTTTACAAATAATCATAACCCCAAAACTACATAAGTGTGAATACTTGGCATATGGTTTGTATTGTAGGCCTTGAGGCCTACTAATACCTTGAAATTGACTATTTTTGTTTTAATTTGAAACACCACAATTTTAAGTTAAGATAAAATTTTAACCTGGAATATTATTTCAATGGATTCTAGCAAAAATGCTTAAAATCGTTTTGTCTTAGGTTAGAATGAAATTTTTGTTAAAGATAATTTTAAGGAGATTTAAGTTTTTTTTTAAACAGCACCCTGGTTATATAAGCCACTTGTATAAGAGTAATCAGTATGAGTATTTTTGTTCTTTTGATTTTCGCGTTAAGCATTGATGAAGTGATATCATCATTTACCATTTATGGGCTACGTCACTAATAATGAGTTTCAAACTACAATAACGTGAAAGTTGAATCTCTAAAATGGATATCTGTCAACATTTGTCAACATTCAACATCCTCTGTAGACAATACTGTATGTAAACTGGAATGACAAAAATTCTCTTAGTCCAAATCAATCAAAGAAACGATTGTAACCAAAACTATCAAATTTCATGACCGAGTTTTAGGAATTGGAAATCAGTTCATTTTTTAAGACAACTTTTCTGGAAAATCAAAATTTGTAAAATTAAATTTTTCACAAATTTCACATATTCAAATAAAAGGATTGCAACATATTTATTTAGCCAGAGAAAAGGGTAATTGATTTGTAAATAAATTATTCTTACTTACAGTACATCATTCAGATCTGATATTACATGTACAACATGTAACTTGTAATTCAACCATGATCAAATTGAAATTACCAGAGGATACTTTATATTATTTTCCTGTGGAAAATGAGAAATGGGAATATAATATAGCTTACTTCCCATCTTCATCACCTGAACAATATAAACAAACACTTAGGGTAAGTACAACAGTTATTTACTGTATGGGGGAGGGGTCAATGGTCTAACATGTGTTCTTTAGATCATAAGGTCTGTCTCATTGAGTAAAGTGGTGTGGTTTTGGTACCACACTTGTAATTGGTCGCCTGTCCAACCTCACAGTCTTTCTCCGGGTCCTCTGGTTTCTTCATGCTGCTAAAAAACCCTACATGCAAACTAATTCCTGAAATATAATTGAACCATATGTTAGTTCCGAAATGACATTGTTTGTGTCAAGTGGATGTTATACCCCATTTCTTTGTCTCTACTGTATTGCGTGGCTATTGCAATGACCTAAGGTACTACAATGTATATATATTTATAATACCACTGATCAATGAAATTGATGAAGTAACAATCAGAGGTTGGCAGTCAATAAATACAATTGCTTAGGAAATCTACTACAATCCTACATTAGTCCATACTCCCCGCAGTGTTTCGTTTGATTAGAGCTAATCCCATTACTCACTGCTGTAAAGAAGGCAAATTCTTGTTCTAAATTATGATTGGTCAATAGTCCGATTAAAAACCAATAGCTAACTGCGTAACAATACTAAACAGAGCCCCAAATTGGACCAAATATGTTTACATAACGTTACGTCATGACTCACGATTTTATTATGCCAAATTAACCAGTGCATAGCAGAATATTGCAGTTTTGAATACCTTAAATCACTGTCCAAAGTTTTAGGAAAGGCCCCTGATTAAAAGAGGGGCTGTCATGTTGCTGTGCTTGGGGATAGATTTGATTGAATGGGAAGAATAGACACGCTCCCTCAAAAGCGCATGTATCAGAAGCTAATCCGGCTATGGCCAGAGAGGGATTTCTCGGGCCATTGCTTCAGGAATATGACATTAGTCCTACATTATGAATTAAATTAAAATGTTTTATGAAATCGAACATTAGATTAATAATTGTGTATTCATTAGTAATCTTGTTCTGGGGCCATTTTACATTCTCTGCCCACTCCATCGAAACTGATCATTCACAAACATCTTCATCAAGCTGGGGGATTTTGAAAGGTAGTCTGCTGTCAAGAAGTATACTTTTCCAACTCTCTGTATTTTGCATATAATTAAATATGATTTATTGGTTTATAGGTTGATGTGTGTTATTGTGGCCCTTTTAGTGCACCATCATTTGGTGTAGGGAGTAGTGGTGATTTGTTCATGAAATGATTTGTTTTAGGGATCCACCTTAATCCTTCAGTTATAAGCCTTCAACATTATTTATTTATTTATTATATCAAATGGCATTGATTGACAATAAGTCGAAAACACAGTATATATAGTTGCTATCAGTTCATGGTCATCTAAAATTATGGTTTGTGTGACATGAATTTTTAAGTGAACTTAAACATGATTTATCACTTTGTCCCCCTCTTTTAGTGGAGGTACCTGAAATTTGTTATAATTATAGTTTCTCTCATTGGATTGCTTTAAGGGTAAAGTACACAGCGAAGCAAGGATTATAACCATATCAGACTTACATCCGTATGAAAATTATACATTTTCAATAAAGTGGAAATATATAGTGTACAACTACTGGAGTGATGATGTTACTATTAATATAACCACAAGAATAGGAGGTAGATATTTATCAATTATATTTCACAAGAATTGTTGGCACAAAAAATTTATCTATTAAATTTAAACCATTGTAAAGAAAATATTTTATAAAACAAACTGCAAAGATGTATGTTAATAGGACAGACATAGATATTTCACAACCATCGATAATTTTTGTTTTCAGTACCAAATTATGCCCCTGTTGTTCCTAATAAAAACCATGCTAAAGGTGTCAATGAAACAGCTATATATCTGCAGGTTAGTTTATTTATTCAATCTTGTTTATATGCTCATATTTAATGTGGACGTATATTGTCATCACAATTCTGTTTAACTATTCTTGTAACCGTCTTTCACTCTACATTTCTTGTCAAATGTTTTTCAATTTGCCTGAGTTTGTTCATTCAGTCGTAAGAAAAAACCTTATTGAAATTAAAGAAATATTGATTGTAAATTTCAGAGATACCCCCCCACCCCATTTCTGTTCAGAATATTATTAATCTCATAAAGGACAAAGCTCCAAATAAAATTGGGATTGTTCATTAGGGTACAAGGAAGGGTTCTATCAAGTTTCAAAATTTGTTTTATCATGTTGAACCGATTTATCTGTCTGGTCACATTTTGAATTTTAAAACTTGTAAATATTATTTTAAAATGGTGTTGTTCATTATAAAAAAGAACCCTCTTTTAGTTTCAAAATTTTTGCCCAATATAGATTTGCATAGTTATCTTTTTTGATTAAATTTTTTAAAACTTGGCTTGTATTGAGACAGTATTTATTTTTCAGAAAAATCCTGAGGAATCAGAAAATGGACCTATCATCAATTATATTGTAAATATTACATACAACAATGTTAAACCCGACGACAGAATAAAGCGAAGTTCACCACACGAATCCAAAAAGTTTGATGGAAGTTCTTTGTCCATTTTTCTTCCATTACCCAATGATGAGAAAGACCAAACCCTAACTGTTCAGTCGGCTACAGAAGCAGGAGTTTCTCCTAAATATACAACAATTTATGTTCCCGCGAATAGGAAAGAAAGTGAGTAATATCACCATCTACACATTCCTTATGAAATCATTACAGACAAACAGATTATTACATATTATTTGAAAACACCGGGCCCTTATTCACGAAAACTTAAACTAAGATACAATCGAAATTTTAAGAAATACTGCAATTCGATTGGCTGACCAATATGCAAATTGGATATATGCAAATTGATTTTACTGGTCAGCCAATCGAATTGCAGTATTTCTTAAAATTTCGATTGTATCTTAGTTTAAGTTTTCGTGAATAAGGGCCCAGGCCTGCATGCATGTATTTCTATTATAATGCAAAACATATAATAATAATAATTTTATTGTGTTGTTATGTTTACAACATTCCATATTGCTTCAAATGTTTGATCAGAAGGTTATTGTATGAATTATTTAAGTTTATTATGACATGGGGGGGGGGGTGGATGGCCGAATGGTTAGCATGCGCGCGCTGTATCATAAGGCCTGTCATTGAGTCAACTGGCATGGTTGTACGTGACAAGAAGTAGGGTTGCCTGTCCAACCTTGGGAGAGGGGTTTATATAGGCCTTGCCTGTTCCCCAGTCCCCTCAGTTTCTGAATAAATATTGTTTCCAAAAAAAAAAACCTTGTGGATTTTCTCTGGGTCCTCCAGTTTCCTCCCACTGCTAAAGACCCCTATGCACAAGCAAATTATTGAAATAAAATTAAAACCATATGTTAATCCCGAAATGACCTAGTTTGTGTCGAGAGGACGTTAAACCCCATTTCTCTCTCTCTCTTTTATTATGTTTGGATTTTTTTAATAGTTGGCTCAGTGAGTAAGGTGCTGGCTCGCTAACCTAAATGATCCCAGGTTTGATCCCATTGATGGTCGAGAAAGTTCCTTGAAATTTTCTGATGTGAATTCCCTTGTCAGTGGTTGACCGAGGTCCTGCGTGGGTACACATTGGTGTGCACGTAAAAGAACTTATAACAGTTGGAATTATTAAAATAAGAGTAGGCCATACTCCTTCATACGGCATCGTATATGCCCATCTTCATTTGCCCAAATGCAAAAGAAAAATACTAAGTTAAACCCCATTTTATTTTGTTTTATAGTTGATAATGATCTCACAAGACTTGAATCTCAAAGTTATAATGAAACACATGATCAACTTGATGTAGAAGATGTTGCTACTGCAGACAGACTTGACATCTTCTGGTGTTTGGGAATATATTTATCTGCGAAGAAATTAGTAGATTGTAAGGTAAGCATAGTGTAAGATTTATTCCTAAATTGTTAATAATAAATTAACTAAATAAAATCACCAACTTTTATACACCTTCAATTTAAGTACATGTATAGGTTTAATAGAATAGGTTTAGGGAAAGGGGTTTAATAGAATAAGTAGTGATGGTCCGATAATTGGTTTCAACATTGGTAATTGGCTGATAAGTGGTCTATTGGTAGAAATCGGTAACGGTCAATACAAGACCATTTTGTAGATATGGGAGTCGCTGATATCAGTTCAAAAGGACTAGGTAGATACCTTGTGGACAAATTCTTACTTTGCTTGACACTCTGTACTTATATTTTAGTTGCTGTGCGTGTGGCTATTTATACATGATACAAGACTCTCATAGAGGCCAAAAATAGTAAAGAATCAACCGGTCTGCGTTATTTTTTTTAATCCATATTCACAAATTGTTAGGGAGTTCGGGTAACTCAATGCGTTTTTTAAAAATATACGATTTCTGTCTATGTTTCTGACAAACATTAACATACAACAGTCCATCGGATAAAACGTCTGGCTGGAATATGGAATATGCCCATTGCATGATGATCAAAATCATAGAATTGGAAAATGCAGCAGTATGTTGCAGAGGCCAGTCTTCGTTCCCATTTCAATGCGTGCTGACATCATATTATGTCATCATGCAGTGAATTTATTCCAAAAATACAAGATCACAAACTCGAATAATAGCTATTTAGGCTATTGAATATTTATTTAAATTGTTTCTGATAAGTAATAACAAATTTATAAACTATGAAATAAACAATGTTTCTCCTTTGATCATTGTCGCTGATCATGACAATGTATAGAATCCATGTAAGTGGAGTTGGTTAGAGAAGGAGGTGGGCGGGAAAGCGGTGGGCCTTTTCATTAGGAAATTACGTCAATGATTTTTAGAAGTTTTTTGTTGTTTTGTTGCTTTTTTCTTTGACTTCACTGGCATTTGATGTACTACGTGAGTATACTGCACCATTGTACAAAATTTTAGTTATTTTTGAGAAGAGAATAGAATAGGTTGAGAGGAAAAGGTTTAATACTTTAGGTTTAGAAGAAGGGGCTTAATAGAATTGGTTGTGGGGGGGGGGAGGGGCTTAATAGAATAGGTGTAGGAGAAGGTGTTTCATAGAATAGGCTCAAGGAAGGAGGTTCAATGGAAGGTGTTTAATAAAATAGGTTTAGGGGAAGAGGTTTATGGGAATAGGTTTAGGTGAACAGGTTTAATGGAAGAGCTTAAATACTAGAGCACAGTTTCAGAGAACAGGTTTACAGCAAAGACTTTTCAATGATAATTTTACCTGGAAGTTATCTATTTTCTGTCTTCAGCTTTTGTAACAAGTAGTAGGATCTAGGAACCAGATTATCAATGAAGTTTAAGGGTTTAATAACTGATTTTAGTGTGTTTTTTTTATTCACAGTCTGGTATTCACTATGTAACTATTTCACCAGCTACCAAAACCATTATTATTCCCAGACCAAAGTTAGAAATGCCCCAATGTAGTAGGTGTGTTTTACATTATGCTGTTGCCATGGAAAAGAATAATTTATCAAGTTCAATGTTATGGGACTCGGCATCAGAACCTAAATTACTTCCTATAGTACATGTAGATGGTAAGATTATTGAGTTACAGCTTAATTTACAGTAGGGTTTTTATACGCCCACATTGAAATGTGGTTGTATATTGTTGTTGCCCCTGTCCGTTCATCCATCTGGTTTCCACAATTGCTTGTGGAAGCTCTAGAGGCCAAAGTCAGTATCCAGTTGACTTTGGATTTATACACAGTGTCTATGGTCATAAGACGAAGAAGTCTATGTATTTTCAGTGATTTCTGATAATTACTGCCAGAGTCATGGCCCTTGATTACTTTGATAAATCTTGTGGATGTTTAAGAGGCTAAAGTTATTATCTGATTGACCTTAAATTTTAAAGACAACGAAGCCTTTTGATTTCAAATGCTTTGTGACAAATGTGACCCCCCATGGCATACTGAGTCGCAATGAGGAAATTTTGAAAATTGAGTTATTGTTATTTTCACATTCTCCGACTCATTACCTTCAATTTGATGTATAGTTTGTTTGAATCGGGCGAAAATTGACCGAGTTGTGACTGCTTAAAGCCACCCAACTCACCAGAGTAAGTTTTGAGAAAAATCAAGTTAAAGATTTGGTATGTTTCAAAACAAAACCCCATAGCAACCAAGCCATTTATTTGCTGTTTTGTCGTTGAATATTGATTTCTAGGGGTTTTCAGGGGTGCTGAAGACGAAAATTGTAGTAACAATTTGATCCGACAATTTCCGCCATCTTTTTTTTCAAAATGGACGCCAAAATGACAAATTTTCGAGCTTTCATAAGTTATGTGTTTATTAATGTCATTGAATGGGTTTTTGGGGGTGCTAAATCAAACAATTGCAGTATAAGAATAAATCCGATAATACCTGCCATTTTGTTTTTCATAATGGCGACCAAAATGATAATCGTAGTAGTAAAATTAATCCGTCAATATCAACCATTTTGTTTTATCAAAATGGCGACCAAAATGACAATTCTGTTTTTTTTATCACCGTATTTGTAACCGTGTCATTTTATATGTTTTATTAGGCATAAAGGTTGTAGCATCAGGGGTTGACTGGACTGTATCCTCCATCTTGTTTTTCAAAATGGCCACCAAAATGGCAATTATTGAAGTTCTTATACTTGGTACTCGTGTAATATATCATTTTAGAGGTTTTCTGGGGTGCTGAATACGAAAAACATGGTGTTGGGTCGATGCAACGAATATTTATCATTTTACATATTGGATGATTTTATTGTCACCCATCAGTTATGGTCACACCTTGCAGGCTAGGGTATACCAATGAAACGACGGTATTCAACACCTTATGCTATCAAGTATAAGAAAAGAGAACAGTTTTCAAAAGACAACAGTATGCTAAAAACTCTCATAAATTTAATAAAATAATTATAATAACAAATTGTATTATAATGCATCACAAATTACTATATTTTTTTTAATAAAATATAATAACAAATGGAATAATAATAGCACTCGAAATAGGATGATTTGTAAAAGAAAAGTAACTCAAGCACTGGAAATGTGGCCATTTAGATGAGCCAGTTCATTTTGCTACGATACAGTGGGGTGCGAAATCATTTAGCTATTGGGTGTTTTATATGATTACTAATTTAATGTTCCGTTGGTGGTGGAACAATATCACTGTTCGTGGTTTGACCGCGATTGCCGAGTTCTAATTAAAAGAGTTGGTACTAGGCCTTATGATCAAAGATACATTATTAACATGGTTTGACTATACACCTTAATTGAAACTAGTTCCATTGTATATACTATGGAGTTTTCGTATGGCACGGTTACGATGCCAGTGTATAGAAAGCTGTAAACAAACGCTATTTACAGTGGATATAATTGCATTACGAGAATTTAATTTATTAATTCATCGGGCATGGGTGACTGTTCAACGTTCGAGAATGGAAAAGGGTGAGCTCTCAATAATAATATCCAATATGCATTCTTAACTTTGCATGCCGTATGAAGCGACAGTAAACGGAATACACCTATCAATAAAATTCTCTTCGGAAAGAAAATTATTGGTTATTTTGTTTATTTCCATTTAAGGACTATAAATTATTTTCTAACAGACCAAACGAGACATTAAATCATCGCCGCTTTGATTAGTTATTCGGAGTAAATAATGAATTGTCGGTGGCCTTATCATTGTTAATTATCAATCAACTAATCATTAATCCGTGAGAAGTGATTACAGATTAGTATTACTCAATGATTGATTTACAATGTTTTGATTAACACTCAACGGCTATCTATATACGATCAGAATTAAGTTGTTGGTATCCGAGGAGCTTTTTATTTTGTGTTTTTAACAGTTTTCAAGCGTAAATAATTTAATTAAATCAACCTGTCCATAATACCATATTCATTGTATTGAACGTTAAATCTTTAATAAACAACAACAACAGTTGTTTTCTGCCACTTCTCAGAGTGAATCGCATGTAGATACACCATAGCATTGCCCAAATCTAATTTCTATCGTCTGCTTGAGCCTCGATCGGCCACGGAACCACAATGCTTTGCAGGCGTCGTCTGGGCCAATCAGCAAACGAGTCATGTTGGAAGCATAGCAACAAGCGGAGTATGTTTACATTTTTAGGAGTTTTAAAACCCTTTTGTATTTCTTCAAAATGAATTCATCGGGAATACTTTGGTCTTATTTATAAACTAGAGATTCTCCACTTTACAACGATGCCAAGCATTTTGCAAGAGGATTGACAGGTCGCCCCGCTGCGAGCAGAGAAAAATATCTAATTCCGCTGAGAATATTCAGAAAAAGACAGATTTAAGAATACGGTACTCTTACAAAACGTCCAAATAAAGGCGTTTTAAAATGTTTTATTGCTATTTTGATCTTTTGAGTCGATAGATAGTATATTTATAGACTCATTTTTGTGAAAATCTCAATTTCGATCAAAATCAATATTTTCGCTTATTTTGTCTCTTGTGCAAAATTAATTTTGCCGCATTCCGACTCAATAACATGCGGTGGGTCACAAATATTGTACACTAAACATTAGCATGGACAGAACTAGAAGCCATATAAATTCTAATGATTTTTGATAATTACTTAATTAGTCGTTGATCAGATTTTAGTGTGTTGTAATTTTTTTCATTACCGTCAAAAAAAAAATATGTGAAATCCCTTGATGACTGCTTGGAGGACATAGCTGCTGTGGGCATATGTCTGGCAACCTATCTTTTTGTAAGTTTGAAGTAATAATTACTAGTATGAGCCGCCTACATTGAAAAGAGGTCATATACTTCCATTACCCATTGTGTTGGTTGTTGTCCACAACAACTTCAGTTATCTCCCAATCTATTTCGAACATGATATGAAATTTGAAATATACAATTTCTTGATGCTAGTACTTCCTTATTAAACCAATTCTATTTATATTTGTTTTCAGGTATGGTTTACAAAATAGAGGAACATTTATATTGGATCATCATACCAATTGCTGCAGTTTTATTTGGGTTTTTTGTCTTTACATTATATAAGTATGTACATGTATTATGTACTAAGAAACAAGAAATTAATGAGAAATGAATTAATACATTGAATATGATGCATCACCATTCACATGAAATTCAGAAAGTGTTTCTTTTCTGTGACATTATAAAATAATATTCAGAGTAGTTCAACATGCCCAGAAAATCACATTAATCTTTTGTTTTACAGTAATTTTGTGATTTTCTTATTTTTGTTTTACAGTAATTTTGTAAATTTCTTATTATAGGGTACTTTCGTTTTTTATACGCCCACATTTTCATGTCGATGTATATTTTTGTTGCTCCCATCTGTCCGTTCACATTTTGTTTGTGGACACTCCACACTGTTTACGGATTATGGCCCTTGATTGTACGAAAATCATGTTTTTAAATTGTGGACACTTTTGAGTCCACAATTTTTATCCAATTTTGATGAAATTTAAATTCATGTTTATTACCCCAAAATCTTGGTTTCTTTCCATATTGGTGCATATCAGACCATAACTTCCTGGATTATGGCTTCTGATTGTATGAAAAATAACATTTTTAGCTTAAGTTTACAATTTTTATTTGATTTTTAAAAAAGATACTTAGGATTAAGTTCGAATTTCTTGAAAATTGAAACGAGACTGTCTGACAAAACAAAGCTCACCTTTACGCAAAAAGTATAATGAGCATGTCATACCAAGGTTGTGGACCCTCTAGAATTTACAATTCTTATCCAATTTTGATGAAATTTAAAATGAATGTCTATATCCCAAAGATATTGGTTCCTTTCGATACTGATGCATGTCAGGCCGTAATATCCTAGATTATCCCCCCTGATTGTACGAAAAATCACTTTATTAGCTTGTTCTCATCCATCTCTTGCAAAAGGTAGGCATATCTTGCATGGCAATCGCTTGTTCATAACCATGCAGACCCGTATTACAAATTGTTGTAATCTAGCACTGCAAACAGTAAGAAAAACAACACTGAAACTGTAATTAGACTTGTTGAGTGTTTATGTGATTTTTGAATTTGAATTTCGTGAATAAAATTGAAGAATCATGGGTTATTTACCTGAAGAGTAAAATAAGCGAAAGTGCTAGTAATCGACAAATAATATAGTTCTTTTTTCAAAAACTTTTATATTTTTGTGTATATATATATTTATATATCATATCATATTTTTAGATGTAATAAATGGAGGAATAACAACTACATGGCAAAAGTCAAATTTCCTGACATGGTAAGTAGATATGTTGCCTGGTTAATATTCACTAGTACTTGAAGTATATTTCTGTATTGTGACCATGTTATTTTTACATGCCTAAATTTAATGTGGATGTATATTGTTATCAACCCTGTCTGTCGATCAGTTAATCCACGTGCTCAGTCTAATGACACTTGGTATGTTTCTTTAAATCTATGAAATGTTGTTACACGACATAGACTGAAACTTATGATCATTTTAAGTTTATTCTATATGTCTGGAAAAGGTTTCTTTGCATTAAATAGTTACACTACTGATTCTGTGAAAGCTGTAATATCACAGACGTTTTTTTCATAATAATCCAATGACAGTCAATATTACATTACTCCATGGCAATGATTTCACTCTTCAGCCATATTATTTAATAACAGTTCTCTCCCCTTACATAGGATATTATATAGTTGCTTTCATAGAGATAAGCTAACATCCCAAATTAGTCTTTGTGTGACTGTTGCCATTATGTTTTAGAACAAAATAATCATTGGTCGCTAATTGCAGTATGAATCCATTTTTCAAGGGTCACACTTCTAAACAATAATTTGGCAGGGTTTTTTTTATTGAATATGATTGACTATTAATACAGAGGTTTTCTTTCAGATTTCGTAAATGTAAATTATTTTGTATGTCAGTCGTTTTAGAGACCCATTTAATTAATAAGATTGTTTTGGTGAGATGAGTAGTTGTCTAGGGAGTGGTGACCAATGTATAACAATAACCTCATTTATTTTATGATCAGTAGTGGAATACCGCGTTTCATCAGTGAAATAAAAGTGTTATTCCACTGGCTAGAAGTGGACAAAGCAGTCCATGTTGTTTTTACCTAAAATGATTGTAAAATCATAAAATAAATAGAACATTTGTCGTTTTGTCGTGAATAACATATTTTATTTCATCTCTAAGCAAGAAAACGTTTATATTTTCACTCATGCAACGCATTCGTGAAAATATAAGTTTTCTTGCTTCTCGATGAAATAAAATATGTTATTCACTCTAAAACGACAAATATCCTCTATATATGAAAATATTTATATACATTTTCTACTTTTTATTGAAAATACAATACCGGTAAGTGGAAAATATCAGATTGTGTGTATTTAACCATTCATCTAGATTACCTGTCATTCTGTAATTTACGATCTTGTACTTATTGTTGGTCTCAATATTTACAGGAATATGCTATACATGCACAATATGAACAAGTTCAAAGAAGAACGTTGGTAAGAACATTTTAAACACTAACATGTATACCACATATTGGTTGTGAACATCATCTGTGAGAGGAATAAGTTTTAAGATAAAATCTTTTATTATGGTATATTAATGTAACTTGACAATGGTAATATCAGGATTGATCCAATCAAATTAAAGGAGCTAAATCGCTAATATTTGTGACCTAGAAATTGACCCAAATGGGTCGCAACGCATATAATAATATAATCTGATTGTATATAAACTGATTTACATTCAATTGTCTCCGTTTTGACTCTTAATTTCAAATCAGTTATGTCCAGCGAAATACGGGCTGTGTCTCAACCCGATAGCAATTTCTAGCATCTGGTTATTCCAGTCTATTGAGCAGGCTCTCCAGTTGAATATGTCTAGCTTCGTTCTTTCTGGTCACTTGTTGCAAATGACGCTCAAACGCACTATGGTACACAATTCGTGTACCAATGGTAAAATACTTATTTTGTCTTAAATATTGGATATCAGAAGCCTGTCTTTTCCTGGTAAATTCACAACATCAATGTTGATTTTGAATTGACAAATAATTTGTATTTTCAACGTGTATGACTTAGGATGATATTGAGTTAGAGACTAAGCTACTTTAAATTTGAATGATACTCACTGCTGGTAGTCTTCTGTGAGAGTATTAAAGACTTATTATATCCAAATCCAGCTGATATTTGTTCTTTTGAATGCATAGCAAATTAAAACATAGTTTACGAGTGAATGCAACATATGCACCTCACCTGCAACTAATTCTGTCACTGTATGCACTATTTATTAATACTTTTCTTTTTCTGTTACTAGAGTAGTACTTCAAGTGTGGAAGACAATAGTGATAAAGATTCAACAGACATGGCAGAAACTTGTCCTGATATACCCATAAATACAGAAGCAAGTGGTAGCATAAATTCCAAGCCACTTACTGAAACGGTAAGAAATTGTTGTTTACCAATATTTTGAGTGCATTAAGCTAGATATTGCTTTGGAAGTAGGATGTATCTTTGATAAAGACACATTGTTCCGTATTTGCTACTATTAAAAATATTAATATTTTAGAATAAAAATATTATACGTTCAATCAGCACCCTAGTGTTATTGATATGAACAAAGAAGACCTATATCATCTGGTTTCACAGACTGTCCTGTGCAATACACAAAGTTGGGTGCCAAAAATCAAATGCTACAGTAAAACAAACAAAAATGCTCACTGCACATGACATCCTTTTGTCATGGCTGTATTGAGTAATAATGGAATATTTATAGCGGTATGTAGTTTGAAACAGAGATTCCATGTAATAAGGTTACATTTGGGTTGTATATTAGTGCTGGGTATTGCGACTGCAGTCACGATATGATATGTATTGCGATTCAGGTTCTACGATACAATTCATATCCAGGTCAATATTTACCAAGATCACAACAGGATAAATTAATAAGTTTTATTTTTATGGCGAGAATTTTTAGTCCTGCGGATATCAAAGAAATAAAACTGTTTTATATCACAATTTTTATATGGATCAAAATAAGGACCAAAACAATGTAAAGGTGTTTAATTATGAGTAACAGGTTAGTTACAATAGCGACAAATAAACAATAAAAAAAATAATCATAAAAAATCGATTCAGAGGCTCGCAATTCAATGCGCAAATGGTGAGAAGATGAACCCAGATACCTCTATTCAACGATATATCGTGCCAGCACTATTGTATATGTGTCTAATTAAACCAAGAATAAACATTTAGTCAAAGCAATATATAATATAGCACCCTCATTGAAGCGTTACAGTTAATAAACCTAGTGAAATGTTATCCATAAAGCTGTTTGTCATTATTTGAAAAACAGGTTAGTATCTGTATAATTCTGGTGCCAGTGAACAAGACTGGTACACCACCCTATATCACTCTATTTAGGTACAAAAGGGAGTGTGGTAATATTAATGCCCTTTTATCATTCTATTGTAATTTGGTACAAAATAGTGTGTGATAAAATCAATGCCTTCTTAATGTATGTCTTTATTTTCTAGAGCGGTTTTACTAATACTGGAGAAAGTAGAAGTACAGAGCAATGTAGCAGCCCCATCTCGTCAGGATCAATAGGCAGTGGTCAGTGTTTGATCATAGTAGGCTCTGGCAGTGGTAGCATAAATTCTGAGCCTTATAGCAGTGATTGTTATAACAATTTGAGTTTCTCATGACAAATATACAGTTCGTCAGTGCCATAGATGTTGGTGATTGTACACAGAACTGTTTAAATTATCAAGAAATCTCTGGTTTTGAGTTCTTTTGTGTTCTTCAGCAATCCAAATTATAAATCTCTTTGTGAAGATTCTATTGTTGATTCAAGAGCTAATCCAGAAGTATTTAAGTTTTGAAAGCTGTTGTAATATTCAGTATTATTTCTCCATGTGATAAACAGTTGATTTTAATAATATTAACAAACCATATAAGATTTAACAATCAGTAGTAATAATTATGAACATTGTGCAGGAAAACTATGCAACTTTATAAAGACAGTGCAAACATACTTTAAAAAGCTAATTGTCAATTCAAGTGAAAGTGAAATCAAAGCAATTAGCTAAGTGAACCTACTTTAAAAAATATCCTCAAGCTAGTGGGGTGGGGTGTCAAGTGTCCTGAGATAGAGTTGGCATACCATGCCTCATATATGACACCCATCACAAGGCAGAAACAAGGTCTAAGATAATATTTTGAACAAGTGAATGAGTGAATCTTGTAAATAAGTTTATTAAACTGATATCTAGACCATGTAATAAATCCAGCAGCTATACTTTAATTGTCAATAAATGTGCATGAAATTGCTAATGATTTGATCATCATGACATTTCATTTGAGTTCAATAGGGCAACTTAAAGGAGATTGTCTACCCTTTTCTATTCTCTCCTTTTAAGTCTCTTCAAATGAATAAATTGTGACTTGAAACTTTAATGTGGATCATTTGTGGTGTCTTACTAGTTGGATATATTCCCATAGACTAATTAAAATTATACCAACATTTCATTCAGTTTCATCATTTGACTTTATCTTGGTCTAAAGACATTACTTGCATATTATATGTTAGATTGTTAATGTATTATAAAGGAACTTTACTGATCCACCATATTTTTACTACATTGCACATAGTTATATTATATTATAATAATTGATCATATTTTTATAGGGGATCACGGTGGGTAAGATGCTGGCTCGCTAGCCTGGAGGTCAGGTGTTCAATCCCTGCATTGGCCGAGAAAGTTCATCCAGATTTTCCGGCATGGTTCAGTCATTGTTTTTTTAAGGCGAGCGAAGGCTCTCAAGCGCCTGCCGCTCACCTGAATAACGACCAAGGAGAGCTTTTTCTCCCTCTCCTTAAAACTAAAAATCGCTCTCCTTTACAAAGTCATTGGGGGGGGTATTTTCATTTATGAAACCAGGAATGACCCCTAACATGCAGTTATTAATCTTCAGAACCATTTCCCATACACACAACTAATCACTCTCCTTGATATCAGATCACTTTTCTTATCAAAACTGGGAGAGCTTTTTTAGGGGAGCGATTTTTTCAATTTGTTGATTAAGGGGAGCTTTTTTCGGCTCTCCTCTAAAATACAAACAACAACCACTGATGGTTCTCCCTTGTCAGTGATGCAGGATGGAGAACCTGACAAGGACAGCTGTCTAGTCGTTCGGATGGGACAAAAAACCGAGGTCCCGTGTACACATTGGCGTGCACGTAAAAGATCCCTTGGCAGTTGGAATTCGATATAAGAGTAGGCCGTAGCCCGGGCAAAATTTCCCTCGTAGCACACTGTATGGCGTATGCCCATCTTCATTAGCCCAGTTTAGGAGCAGAACAGTACGACGTTAAACCCCATTTCATTTATATAGTCATTACATATATATGCTGATCAACAATTGCTTGTGAATACCATGAGGTCTCAATTGTACATGTTCATCTGTTTTAATGAAACTTAGTATAATTTGCATCACCTTAATGACTTGTTAACACACTGGAGTCCGCTCCTTTTTCGTATGCTTTTAATTAAACTTGGTATGTGACTTGTGGAGTTATGAACCTTGATATTCTGAAATATGTCAAAACTAATCCAATGCCTTTATTAGTCTAAGCAGAAAATGCTTATTGAACTTGGTCACAGTATTGATGTAATGTAATTATACATGGAGTTTCGTCACTCTCACTGAATTAGAATCAAATTTATTGTGGTCTAAAGTCTTGACATATCATATGGTTTGTCAGTTACTTACTATGCTCAATCTCAGTACAAACTGTTCATTATCAAGGTATTGATGAAATGAGACAGGCTGTGCACAGAATTTCATCACTTTTATAACCTCTGACACCCAAGTTGGAACATTCTACCTCAAAAATAAAAAATTTGTGTGTTTTTATTTATAAGGTTTTGGATATTTTTTATTTTTTTTATTTTAATTTCAATTTTAATGTTTATTATTCAAGGAGTCGTCTCTCTCTACTTAGTCAAAATACCTTAAATTTGGCATGTACCACTTATTTAAACACCCCAGGCTAGTTCTTGTTTGCTGTCATTTCTGACATTTTCTCTGGCATACTCCCTCTAGTCAGAGGTAAGATCCAAAGTGGCAGGAATTTGTGAATAGTCATTTTGATTGGCCAAGAAACAAAATCCCAGGAAACATGGCAGTAAAAGATCCCTTAATAGATTGTATTTGAGTTTAGAATTCAGATACCATTCTAGGACAAGATGGCCCTTCCTCGGTATAGCACAGATCATATTATGTCATTCCATACCTCAATCTATGATTTATATATAGCAACAAAATTAAATTTTTATCTATAAATATAAGAAGTATGTAGGTAAGCAGACTGAAACTCCATTTGAATTACGTTAAATTAATTCCAACATTAATTTTGTCATATCAACAAAACAAAGTGATCATCATTGTGACTGATCTAGTCATTCTAGCTATATTTCTTTTTATATGATCATTATGATTCATTTATTTAGTAAATAATTATCAAAAGTTCCTTGTTATTGTTTAGTGTAAACAGCCAATACAGTTATTTAATATATTTGTAAAAATGCTGAAAATAAATTTCACACAAAGTTTTCCCATAGATGTGTGATTTTGTATATAATATTTATACTTACATATATAAACAAGTCATATTAGAATAAATATTTTTAAGAGCGTGTCCACGAGAGCACCATGCAGAAATTGAAAAAAACGATAACCCGGGGGGTCAGGAAATTTCAACCATACTTGGTCTATGGGGACCCCTAGGCGACAGAAGTCACATGATGGAGTGAAAAAATTTTGAACGGACAACTTCCGGTATAACTGGAAATTGTTGTTTTGGGGCAAAAGTTGACATATTTCGACCAATTTGTTACCCTAATTTCAAAACGCTCCTACCCGAAAAGTTGTGTCTCTAAATTTTTGATATTGGTCAGGTATGATAGGCCTAGTAGTCGTCTTAAAATCCTGCAGTCGTTTGGGAATGAATGAATCGTGTGGAATTTTTTGTGAGTGATCATAAAGTGGTCATTTACATATGTTTAAAACTATGCTATCCTAAAACGCATGTAGCTGCTTCTTTGCAGGTCTGACATAGAATTGCTTGGTGTGGTTGTGAAGGGCATTTCTCAAAGTAAATGTCAAAAGAAAAAAACTGACCGGAACGCAACCCACTAGAGTGCTGTAATATTCTGAAAATGTGTAAAAACGGTATTTTCCACGAAATTCATCTTTTCACTAATGACCGAATACTATTTTCAAGAGTTCAAATGACCGTTGATTATGAACATTAGTACTATTTTTTGTTACTTGAACGTTCCTTGTGCCAAATATACTATCTTGGTTAAAAATCATGAAGTTTTTGTGACAAAATCGGACGTTCGCGGTCATCGTAGGAAAGGGGCTTAACTGGTGTATAATTTTGCAGGATCAGGCAACGATTATTCTCACCTGTATTCAGTAGTTAGTAGCACGGAAGTGCATAAATGTAAGGACTGGCATAGCAAGCTTTTATATTAGCTCAATTTAACCAAAGCAGCACATTTTCAGCAATGACCAACGATTATCTTCAAATGACTACTGATCATCACCATTACTTGTAATATTTCGTAATTTCAACGTGAATCGTGTCAAATAGATCATTTTGTTTAAAATCATAATATTTTTGTGAGAAAATCTGACTTTCACGCTTGCTTGATAGCCATAGGGAAGGGTCATAAGTGGTGTGTAATTTTGCAGGGATCAGAACACTGTTATTAAGATCTGTATTCATAAACTTGATATCTTTTAATTTGTACACCTGCTCATGTAAAGAAGAACCATAAGAAGAAACATTCAGAAGTGTTCATGTAGGGACATTTAATGTCTGGTATTGAAATCTCTGAATCATGGCATAGATCAAAACAGGATTTATGGCACTCCAGGATAATGTTGACCGCATGTGCCAAACTCCTACATATACCTACATTCGAGCAGAAGTGCTCACTTACTTAGATTCCTACGTTCGAGTGTAAATGCTCTCTGACCTTCCTTCAAGGTTTTTGGACCACAGAGTACTGTTTTATTTTGTAGTACTGTTTTTGACCTCTTCTCCTTTAGGGATTTCAATATGGAATTATCATAGCCTCCCGATCTGTAATGCCTCTCCATGAAAACGTCCAAATGTTTCCATACAATGATCGGCTCCTAAATACAGATGGGAATAAGCTGGTCTGATTCCTAAAATATGGTTGACCAAAATAACCTATTTGGCACAAGGAACATTGGCAGAAAAGGTGTTGTATGGTCGTCTTGCTGATTGTGTGACTACGACTTACTGTCACTGGATCATCTACAATCCCCTCGTCCTTAAAACCTGTTACAAGAGCGAACATGTACATCCCTCAGAAACACTTCTTTTACCCAAGAGCTAAAATATGCTTACACTGAATCGTGTATCATATTTCACCTTTCATTATATCATATTTATAGAAGACGATTTGTTCTGTTTAAATTGCATTGGACATTCATGAAACTTGTCCCTGGTCTAACACATAGACTTTAGATCCTAAGGTCTGTCATTGAGTTAAGTGGTGTGACAGCATGCCGGTGACATGGTGTGGTGTTGTTTGTTCAACCTCATGGATATTCTCTTTTCCCACAAGTGTATTATTGAAGTAAAATTGTACCATATGTTAGTCCGAAAATGACCTAGTTTGTGTTGAGTGGACCTTAAACCCCATTTCTCTCTCTGAAGTCAAAATCACCCTTGATAACGAATATATTAACTTTGTGATGATGTCCATAGATACAGTATGCAATCCATATTATGCTAGTCCCAAAATGACCTAGTTTGTGTCCAGTGGACTTTAAATCTCATTTTACTTTGTTCCTCTCATGTGTAAATCATCCTTGCTAACGACTAAATGGAATATATTAAATTTGTAAAGATGTCCATACATATAATTCATCTGAGGTATTGATAGACGGGACATTTTATCCTAATTTTTGGTGTTTTTAATATATTTCTCCTGTTTTTATTATGACTGTTCCGGTCATTTTTATTTTGTTAGTAGGAAGGTTGCTAGTTGTGGGTAACATTCAACTTTGGTCCTAGTCCCTGCAAAGAACGAGCTATAGCCTCTTAAACATTGGTTTTCATTAACTTCAATTTTCAGAGAGAGTTGGGTATCCGGCCAGTACCAAGGTAGCATAAGCAGTAGAAACTTCAAACTCAGTGTGAAGGAGGAACCTGAGTGGTCCTACTAATGCCCAAAATTTTGTCTATCCAAATCAATTATTTTCCGAATAGCAGGTCATTCAAATTTGGATCCAAAATTGCCTATTTTTGGCTTATTTTTCGATTAAAAAATACTTTTCCAATTTTCCAGGTCGGTATCAACTGAATCAATCTAATATTTTGTGGGGATGTATCTGGGTACTAACCCATCTCACAGAAAAAATTTGGTCCAAATCCCTGACCCAAGGGTTATCACCCCCTGCATGGTGCTCTCGCGGACACGCTCTTAATCTCTCTTTCTTTTTAAAGTATAATAAATTTGAAAAAAAAGCACTTGCAGCAAATGTATATAACTTATGATACTGAATACTAACACTTTATTTTTAACACAAAAATCTTGAATGTAAATAAAACAGTTCAAATATTGATGAGCCATCTAAGTGTGCTAAATTTACATAATTATGTTTCATTGCATCCATGTTTTAAAAACACTCACTTTAATTAAACCACATATTATATGTTGATATGTCACATTAACGGACTCTTAGTTTTGTTAGTCTTTTTATTATCTGTTAGGCAACACAAATAAAATAACTTGTTTCTCGGGCACCGCCCGCACGCAAAATTGGTTGCGCGTGCAGTCTATTTATTAGTCTTGATGAAAAAAAATAAATATGTAACGCCCGCCCGCACATCGACAAGCAAGTCGTAAAAAAAATATCCCGCATGTACCTACATCCGCCATACATGTATATCTATTCAAATGTATTAAAACTGATTCAGATGAACATGCTGTCTTTTTTATCCGAACAATGGCGAAGTTTGGTAGATTTGCCTTTTTTATTGATATCGAAAGAACCTCCATTTTGTATCACGTGATATTAATTACCTCCCCTGATAAACTAGAATTTGATTCGTGTTAAAAGTCATTGGCGACAATATTTCAATCATTCGATCGTAATCGGCTCATTATTGCCGGCTTCAGTCGGTCCTTGTTTGGAAAATCCTATTGATAAAATAATGAACCGTAGAACAGGTTAATTAATTATAGCTAAGAATACGATACGATGACGATAGTCGTCATTATGCATACCTTAGAATCTGGGTCATTATTAGTACGGTAGTTTCGATAATCCGGAAAATAATAATTGGATTACCGATTTGATGGTTTTACTGACCAGTTGTTAGTTAGATTTAAATAGTCATTCAATATAAACACCGGATAGAACACCGAATATCCTGAGAAACACACCGAATATCCCAAGAAACAGTATTTCCGGCAATCTCCAATACCGATGACACGGTGTGACATGCATTGGTTGGAATTCGGTAAATAATTATAAATAAACCGGCGATACTAGATTTAGTTTTAAATACTGTTTACCATGATTATTATTTTTGATACACCTGGTGAAAGAGGCTTAGTTTTTAAAAATATTGTTGTCTTTATGGAGGGCTATTACATAGTCGTATGGAATTTTATTTTAAACCAATTTCAATTATGTGAATTAAATATGGAAAATTATTTTCCTTTCAGTCAGTGTTCAGTCTCAGTGTTTTAGTAGACTTGATTTTGGGTTTATGTTTTAAGTATGTACAATAAAGTTGAATATAACGGAAAGCAAAAACGTAAACAAGTAATGACTTTCTCATTTAAAAAAAAAAGAAAAAAGAAAGACCGCCCTCCCGCCCCAACAATTTTCAGCAATAGCCAAATTTTATTTTGCACCATCAATGAGTAAAAAAAAAAAAAGAAACCGCCCTCCCTCCCTACAGTTTCAGCTGTCAGTTGCCCGAGAAACAAGACATTTATTTTGTGTGGCCTTATAACTAATTTAATTATCAATGTAATTGTTTTTAATTAGTGCAAAAATAAATATGGTTTTATTACACAAGTTTTTAATTTTAGTGTTTTAATGATGCAGTGTGTTTTATTGAAAATTTTAGTGTTTTAATGATGCAGTGTGTTTTATTGAAAATATTGTTTGAAGGCATAATATTCCAGATTAAAAGATAATTATGAAAAGTAGTCTTACACCAAGACATATTGTTCCAGAACCTTGTGAGTTCTATGAATACTAACTTAAAGGAGACAAATCGCTAACTCAATATCATTCAGTCTTTGACATTACAAACGCGACTTATTGGTTAATTGATGTTGTTATCTTACCATGAAAAAATATGCTTCTCATATCCAATATGTAAGACAAAATGAAAATTTGAGTGCCATCTGTAATGAAGTGACTTGATAAACTAGACTAAACATATCCCACAGGAGAATACTACCAGTGTAGACTGGAATAACCAGATGCCAAAGACTGCAATTCAATTTGGACTTGATGCATATTTTTCCTAACATAAAGATTAGAAATTACAGTAAAAACAGAAACGATTGAATGTAAATCAGTTTATATACATTCGTATCACATTATTAAATGCGTTGCAACCCATTTGTGTCCATTTCTAGTTGTCAAAGAATAGCGATTTAGCTCCATTAAAGAAGCATTATCTAACGCTCGCTTCTACCAAAGTGATATCGCAGCGAGTTATCGGATACATATTGATTTGGCGTGTTATGTACTATTAGGATATGTAACATATATGACTAATTTCTATGTGCTGGCGGCCGACATCAAGGAGATTAAAACATCTGACAAAGGGGATATCATGGATCAATCGCGTAGATTAAGTTTATAATCACTCTTTTTGGATTGATATATATCCCAACAAAGGAGAAGCAATGACTTCTGTTCAGGCTTGGATTGATGAATTGTCCGATAAAGGATTAAGGCAGATTAACTAGTTAATCAAGGTAGGTGTATAGGTGGTATAAGTTCTATAACACAATAAATATGTTGATCACTTAATTACCTAATCAATCCAGCCTATTATCAACGATAATTGGGTTGAGTGGTAGTTATACAATCAGTAAACTATATTAATTTGGGAAATTTAAATATTATTCACCATGTCTTGATATGCCCAATCGGACAATTTTGGGCGTTTGGAAAATAGCGTCGGACAAGTCCGGAATATTCAGTCGAAATCCCATCCCTGCATTATGTAAGATTAGACAAAGAGCTGGTCGTTCTTACTATAATAGTTCTAAAATATACTGCTGTCCAAAAGAAAGTATACACTGTGCATTTTGTGCTGCATCGACCAAAGTCGTTTTTCCATGGTATACGGTATTTGGGTAGAATGTCAATTTGTTTCACATTTTTATTTTTCTTATAAATATTGAGTTTGGACGTAAGAGACAAACTCAGTAATGCTTTATCAAATGTTTTTAATCTAAACAAAACTTAGTCATACTTTCAGTGTGTATACATTCTTTTGGACATCAGTATAGATAATGCAAAATGAATACTTTGAAAATTCATTCAAATTACTTTATTCGGAGACAAGATAATTAAATCATTAAATGGCCGAACCATTCTAATCTACTTAAAATCAAACCCATCTGATGGTATCAAGGGTTGATTATGGTCTTGTCATGTTAATAAATAGTTTATTTAACATTTAAGGCCTAAAAATAGACCTGCCATAGGCAAATTTAGCTCTTGCATAATGCCTCTTTAAGATATTGGTATTTAAACTTCCTTCTTCCATCTTTTTTCTGTCCATGACCATTGTGTCTAAAATAGTACCCAACCCATCTGGCACTATGAGCATTTAATTAATTCCAGATATTAAAATAATCATTCTCTTTACCAAATTCTGTTTGATATTCTGAGAAAGATCACATAAAGCTGGGGAGTTTAAAAAAAATTGTTTTAATAAAATAAATTACAAATATATTATTATATAATATATACCAATTAGAAATCCCCACCTCGCAAAACTTGATAGGGCACAAATGTTAATCAAAACTTCACTTGCATGTATGACATATGCTATGGTCACCCAGCTTCACTTGCATTTATGACAATTGCTGTGGTCTCCTGTCCAAGGATAAATTACACACACATTTACCATTAAACATGTGCAGATAGCATTGATATTGTGATCTATTATGACATGTACTCACATTACAAAATCCATGCATTACACATACAGTTATCCCATTTCAAACATGAGTGACAAAAGGATGGATAGATGGAAAGACCCAATTTGGGTTTCCCTGTAGTATGTTCTTCTGTTAATGGTTGCATATTTAGACAAATCATTTGATCTCATGATTAGGTAGGCAGATGCATTTGATCACATTCTAAAAACTGGATAATTTGTTGTAGGCCTACTGTGTGTCTGGTAAGCCTGGACTATTTGTAGACATTCACCTAATATCTGTAAAGATAAAATTCTCTGATGAACCACTTGTTGTTGACTTTATATTGATCAAATTAATTACCAGTATGTTTAACAATGTAATTTGTTCTGGAGACAAAATCTGCTGTTAAATTGTTAGCTATCAGTCAGAATAATAGCACGTCAAAGTATATGGAAGTTTGATGTTTTTCACACTTACGACTAGGCAATTATCCAGGCAATATTACTGGTCCAACTACTGTAAAATCTATACTAGTTAATTCTTTATTGGTAATTTTTGAAAGGGGTAAAATTTTGAACCCAAATTATAGGAGCTACACATATTATTTCATCAGCAAGTCTGATATCAATAGTAAAGAAACTCATGGCCACCAAAAAGTTGGCAATACCCCTTTAAAATGGATTGACAAGATGGTTGTCTAATTTTGTACAAAAACCCCTGGTTCCTGAATGAAATAGCTAAATCCAGTCAAGATCAAAAGTTATTTACAGCAGCCACTCAATCTAGACACTATCTACTTTTAATATCAGACAAAAGTAATTCTTAAAAAATAATAAACAAACCTTTCTTGTTTCATCTGGTTTGATGATACCATCGTCTAGTAGATGAGCAGAGGTATAAATTGCCGACATTTCATTGGTTAATTTAACCACCAATTCCTGCTTCTTTAAATTTATTTCGTCTACAGAAAGGTCAGACAATACATTCTGGAAAAAGTGTTAATACCAGTATGTACGTGTAAAATTCTATGAGAAAAGTACAATGATCCTGGAATCTGGCAGCCAAATAGAATGTAATACTATTATCCTTGTCACTGACTTCAAAATGGCAATCAGGGATTCAAAACAGCTAGGTAGAAACTATATTACATTTTACTAATAAGGAAACTGTGTGTTCACTTATCTAGGAATTAGCCATACTCCTCGCTGTGTTTCGTTTGATTAGAGCTAATCCCACTAAACACTGCTTTAATGGAAGCAAATTTCTGTTCCAAATTATGACTGGTCAATAGTCCGATTAACAACCAATAGCTAACTGCGTAACAATATCGTTAAATTTTAAACAAAGCTCCAAATTGGACCAAATATGTTTACTAACGTTACGTCATGACTCACGATTTTATTATGCACAATTAATTAGTGCATAGCAGAATATTGCAGAAAAACTAATTGTGTGACAAACAAGGTTATCAACACTTATACAATGTAAAGAATACTGTATGGAGACAAAGAATACTTCCACCATTTTTAATACCTTAAATCACTCTCAAAAGTTTTAGGGAAGACCCCAGATTAAACGAAGGGCTGTCATGTTGCTGTACTTTGGATAGATTTGATTGAATGGGAAGAATACACACACTCCCTCAAAAGCTCAAGTATCAGAACTTCAGAAGCCAATCCAGCAATGGGCAGAGAGGGATTTCTCGGACCATTGCTTCAGGAATATGGGAATTAGCCAAGATGGAAGGGATTCTCTTGTGACTCAGGATGTGTACAAAAACTACAACCAAATTTTTAGAACTAAAATGTACAAGTCTGTTACCTAAATGTTCATTTCCAGAACATCTAATCAATGCCAAACTGTAATTTGCAATTCAGAAAGATCTGCAATATGCATGAAGGCCTACATAAATCACAATAATAAGTTCAAATTTATGACCTTTATTAACCCTAAATCTTAACTGTCGACCATAGATAATAAGGTCTGTCAATGAGACAAATAGTCTGGTTTCGTTCCCACACTTGTATATGACAAGGAGTAGGGTAGCCTGACGAACTTTGTGGGTTTGTGTTTGGGTTATCCAGTACCTTATTAGTCCTGAAATGACCTAATTTGTGTGGGATGGACATTCAACCCCATTTCTCATTCTCTCCCTAGCTAACAATGGTATATTATTTAGACTTACAGACAAATACAATAGATAAACAATTTACCTTAGATAATTCTTCTGCTAAGAGACTTGGTGACATTATACCTAAAATTGCATTAGGCCAACTAAAAATAAAATTAGGATTGATACATCTTCCTCCCTGAAATATAATATATTGAGAACAAACGAAAGTTTTGGTACCCCTCCCAATATTTCATCATTGAAAATAGGACATTCACAAAAAGGACTGATTACAAATCATATCCTAGTTATCCCCTATTTTATGGTTTAGGCCACTTGACACCCTAGATGTTTCACAGATGACTTTAAGCCACAGATGGCTTCTCAAGATTGTGTCTTATCACATATATTAAAGATACATTATGGGAGATTCGATAACGAGTTGGCAGTTCTCACTATAATAGTTAAAAACTAGATAATGTAAAGGCAATTTGCTGAAAATTTCATTCAAATTGATCCACTATGAACCAAGAACTAAGCGGTGGTAATTTCCGCCTAGTCTCGATCATCATTACTAAAGTCAGTACGATAAAAAGCATAGTCTCAATTATCCATTTAATTGTTAAATTGCGAAGGAAAGTTATGCAGTAAATCAGCTCATAATCCACTAAAGATCGCAGGCTAGCAATGCCATCTAGAGTTGAATTATGGTCTGGATAAGATAATTAATGTCTAATTAATAATTTAGATAACATTTCAGGCCTAAAGAAAGACCTACAATAGACAGATTTAGCTCTTGCATAATGTATGTTTAATAAAACAAACGTAAAATAATGACCACAATCATATTTCAAAAAGGCATGGTTTTATTGAGTATTTGAAATACTTCCCATGTTCCATGTTAAAATGGCCAATTCTGTACTAAATAATCTTGCACTGTTATTTTTAAATAACTTACCATCATGTGTTGTGAAGTACCCAATCCATTACCAATTCTAACCGTTAGTTTAGGCACAGTAGAACAACTCACTGCGGCCATTAATTTACCACATGCTTTTAACTTCTCACTCATCTCCACACCTATATTATTATAAATATAAATGAAATAAGCATCAGCTTTAAAAAAATCAATTGCATAATAATCTTCTGATTTATAGATGATAGCATGCCTGGAAGAGTTGATGTCTCGAACAGTCAGGGATGAAACTAAATTAAGCTAAAGAGCCCCTAATTCCGAAGTACCCCATAAGTTGTGATACCATTAGTGCATAGAATAGGGAAGTTTAGGGGTGAATGGCTACTGTACTATAACTAGGTGTTCTAGTTATAACCCAGGTAGAATCAAAGCACCATTATGGAAGATTAGATAAAGAGCTGACAGTTCTCGCTATAGTAGTTAAAAAAATAGATAATGTAACAGGAATATGCTGAAAATTTTGATCAAATTACTTCACTCTGACTCAGGAAATGTTTATTTTAATAACACTGTAGCCTCGATTGTCATTGTTACCGTTGTTACAATAATAAACAAAGTCTTGATTATCCATATTTACGGTTAATCATCAACAGCCGTTGAACGGGAGATCAGATTAAAATCTACTGGGGAGAGAGAGAGAAAAATGGGGTTTAACGTCCACTTGACACAAACTAGGTCATTTCGAGACTAACATATGGTTTAATTTTATTTCAATAATTCGCTTGCGCGTAGGGGTCTTTAGCAGTGGGAGGAAACCGGAGGACCCGGAGAAAACCCACGAGGTTGAACAGGCGACCCTACTCCTTGTCACGTACAACCGGGGATTCGAAACCACGCCAGTCGACTCAATGACAGACTTTATGATACAGCGCGCGCACGCTAACCATTCAGCCATCCACCCCCCTAAAATCTACTGAAAATCAGACCCATCCAGTTGGCACCGTGAGTTGATTATGGTCTTGTCATGTTAATATATGTCTAATAATGGTTTATATAACATTTCAGGCCTCAAGAATGACCTGCAATAGCCAGATTTAGCTCTTGCATAATGTATGTTTATGTGTCTATTGAAAATACGAATTATTTGTCAATTCAAATCAACATTGATGTTGTGATCTTACCAGGAAAAGGTAGGTTTCTGATATCCAATATTTAAGACAAAATAATTATTTTACCATTGGTACACGAATCGTGTACCATAGTGCGTTTTAGCGTCTTTTGCAACAAGTGACCAGAAAGAACGAGGCTAGACATATTCAACTGGAGAGCATGCTCAATAGACTGGAATAACCAGACGCTAGAAATTGCTATAGGGTTGAGACACATGCCGTATTTCGCTGGATATAACTGATTTGAAATTAGAGTAAAAACGGAAACAGTTGAATGTAAATCAGTTTATATACAATCAGATTACATTATTATATCTGTTGTGACCCAAATATTAGCAATTTAGCTCCTTCAAGTATTGTTTCTTCTATCTTGGAACAACCCAAATGAGACACTCATAGTTAACCATATCTCGTTCTTTTGTGAAACCCCACCCCCCCTTCCCGTGCCCTCCTGAAACATATACAAAACAGTTCAAGTTCAGGGCCCCATATGTACGTCTTTCACTAGAAACAGTTGATGTCCTTCTGTCTTGGACAAATATTTGGTTTTCTCTAAAACTAGAGCCAGTTACTACAAAAAACAGGATATGTCTGCAGTAAATTAAGTTATAATAAACATACCATTAAGTTCTTCTTCTGTAGATGATGTATTTTGCAAGAAGATTAAAGGGATATTTCTTTCTGAACACAAAGATACAAAATGGCTTCCTTTTAAAGCAGACATTTGGGTTATCTCTCCTTGATTTCCAATTATTCCAACAAGATACCTGGCAAGAAATCAAATACAAAATTAACTTTTTCAAATTTAGAAAAAAAAGTATATACTGGTATATATTTTTGGGCATTTTACTAAAACTTTTGGGATGGGTCAATTAGGGGTGTCTGGCGGGGGTACCACCACTAAAAATGTCTGGCATCGGTAATTCTCGATACATGTGGATATGCTGAACATTTTGCAACAAGTTTTATGTGGTTAGTAAATGAATTTTGGGGTACCTGTTTTTTGTTTAGTCTGGCGGACACACTTCACCAACTAAAAGGTCGGGCAGTGGTCATTCTCGATACATTTTGATACGCTTAACATTTTGCAGCAGGTTTTACGCAGTTAATAAACGAGCTAGTCTAGCCTAGTTTTTGGTCCAACTATTTTGCCACTCTTGACCACACCCACCACAATGGGTAACCCATAAGAAACCTAGTGACACGTACAGATATCGGTTAGTTTTTTAGCTAGGCTGACCCCCGCTGGCTCCTGCTTTATACTTAACACTGTGGTTGTTTTCCAGGATCACAGAAGCAAATTAATAAAGTCTTACAATATTTTAATCTCAAAATGACCTAGTTTGTGTTGTGAGTGGACATTCAAACCCATATCACTCCCCCTGCCCCCTCCTCACCAAAAAAATTCCATCAAAAGTACAGGTACATTTATTTACCCATTTAAGTAAGAAAAACCACAGACTAGATTTTTTCCATATAACTTTTTAAATTCCTGAAATCGGCTTCCATCAACAATTCTTGCAATAATCTGAAATATTTACATAGGTTACCAAACAAACATTAAAGAGAAAGCAAGAGAATATATAGGACTTATTCAACATGTCATTTCAAATTAGTCACCCAGTATCCACGAAAGGCTGGGGACAAAACAGAAACGAAATACGATCTGTATTTTAAACATACATTATGCAAGACCTAAATCTGCCTATTGCAGGTCTTTTTTTAGGCCTGAAATGTTATATGAACTATTAATTAGACATTTATTAACATGACAAGATCATAATCAACTCTTGATGTCATCGATAGCCTGCGATATTTATTGGATTTAAATCTGTTCAGCTGCTCAACACTCATTGATGATTAAATCCCAAAATGGATAATCGAGACTATGTTTTTTATTGTACTGACTTTAGTAATAATGATCGAGGCTAGGCCTAAAATTTAAAAGCTAATATCACGGTTCGGAGTGGAACAATTTGACTGAAATTTTCAGCATATTCTATTTACATTATCTATTTACTAGCTATTATAGTGTGAACTGCCAGCTCTTTATGTAATCTCTCATAATGTATCTTTAATCAGATTGGCACAGTATTGAAACCTAGGACAAGCTGTTCAATATAATTCTAACCTGGTATATGTCTAGTTGATGTTGATGTTGATGAGGTATTAATCCACATATATCATTTACATCATAGATAGGTTCCTCAATATCTATACAACTCGATACATTAGATTTATCTTCTACATTTAAACCAACCATTATATCCCGTCCTATCTCAAAAGCTTCTTTCTCTGTTCCAGCAAAATAATCTGTACAACCACTTGTCCTGTTAGTATATTCTAATAATCATACTCTTGTGAACCTTTCGGATTTATGCAAATAATATCTAGTATGACGGAAAGTGGGTCAGATTACAATGAAGTGTAAAAATCAGACAAAATAAATGAAATGAAATGGGGTTTAATGTCCTACTTTTCTGCACCAACTGGGCTACTGAAGACAGGCATACACCATGCAGTGTGCGATGAACGAAATTTCGCCTTCTCTTATATCGAATATACCAATTGCCAAGTTTTTTTTACGTGCACACCAATGTATACACAGGACCTCGGTTTTTCATCCCATCCGAAAGACTATATGTTGTCCCTTGCTAGGCCCTTTGTCCTGCACGACTAACAAGGGGGAACCATGCTGGAGAGTCCTAATGAACTTTCTCGGCCAGCACCAGGTCAAACATAGGACCTTCAGGTTAGAGATCCAACATCTTACTCACTGAGCCACTATGGCTCTCAGAAAAAAGTTTTTATATAAGTTTTTATAAGATTGTATTCATGCTAAATATTTATTTCTCTCAGTTTGACTGTAGTCCTACTGAGCTTGAATAACAAAGGATGGATTGCGTAGAATGGAATGGAAGGATGTCCAATGTCTCGTCAACATAATACTTCTGTCAACAAACATAATATGGTTTCATGTGCAAGGTGAGGCAGGAGAATTATACAGGAAAAGTGACATATCTGCATACTAACCTTCGATTCCAAACGTCAAGGTTTCTTTTATATGCATGCAGTGTGTACACAGAACCTCGATTTTTTCATCCCATCCGAACAACAGGATAGATTGTTGTTACAAGTTAGAAAGTACGTAAGAATACATGAATTAAATATATACCCATCAAAGTAAATTTTGTTTGTTGAACCAACCTACAATGTAAAGTAGCTCCACCAAGTTCCTCAGCAGAAATAATTTCTCCTAGAGCAGCCTGTACTAATGGTGGTCCTGCTAGAAATATTGTACCGTTTTTATGTACAATTACAGCTTCATCTGCCATAGTAGGTATATAGGCACCTCCTGCAGTACAACTACCACATACTATCGCAACCTATAATACAGAAATAATATGAAAACAAATTTCAATCAACAAAATAATTTGCAAATTGTTTTTAACTTTCTCGTAGTGCAGAAGATTCGCTTGTGCATTTGGAATGTTAAATCTTAACAAGGTCACAAATTTCATTATTTGATTATATAAAATCAGCCTTCCAGATAAAGAAATCTGTGTAAAATTATGAGTAAGTTGATGTTTATTTGGTTTAATAACTTAAAGGAGGTAAATTGCTAATATTTGGGACCTAGAAATTGACATAAATGGGTCGCAACGCATCTAATAATGTAATATGAATGTATATAAACTGATTTTTACTCTAATTTCAAATCAGTTATGTTCGGCGAGATACACCAGAAGTCTAAATCGAATGTCAGTCTCTAGCGTCTGGTTATTCCAGTCTACACCGATAGTATTTATTGTGCATGCTCTTCAGATAAGAATATGGTGTTACCATTTGACATGACTTGTGGAAAATGTCTAGCCTCGTTCTTCGAGCTCCTTGTTACAAATGGCGCTGAAACGCATTATGGTGCACGATTCGTGTACCAATGGTAAAATGTTTATTTTGTCTTAAATATTGAATATCAGAAGCCCATCTTTTCCCTGTAAGATCACAACATCAGTGTTGATTTAAATTAATAAATAATTCACATTTTCAATGTTGAAGACTTTGGATGATATTGAGTTACAGACTTCGCTACTTTAAACTTTTGATTTATGAGAGTAACTTATTAATATTGAAGTTTTCCACTTATATAAGCCTACACCTTATTTATAAATTACTATAGCTTCTTTAACTCAAACAAATTAATCTTTATTTTTTAAATTTAACATATGTGCTAGAACACATTCATTTTATGTATTGCAAAGTCAGTAATGATAATACTGGTACTACTATCTACCTGAGGAATGTTCTGAGCAGACATGACAGCTTCATTATAAAATGTTCTTCCACCTTGATTTTTATCAGGAAATATCTCAGACTGAAAAAAATAATATTTTGGATTTAGCAATTCCATGTAGCAAAATCGGTTTGATTGCGTTCCAATGTGTAGGCCTTCACTGGACTTTAGTTTTCCATACCATCTGAATGACTAGAAACTGCCTTGTCAGGCCCTCAATCCTACACCACTGGCTCCCAGATTTAAATGATGAGAAGAGTTGAGTTATTTTTGACTGGAGATATTTTCGGTTCAGGAGTGAAATATTTTCATATAGTGTGTATTGAAGGGCTGGGCTATGACCGGACAAATGACACATTCATTTTTTATCATCATTTACTAGGTTTACTAAGTCATTCAGATAGAGAGAGGAAAATGGGGTTTAGAATCCATTTAACATAAACTAGGTCATTTTGGGATTGACATTTGGTTCAATTTTATTTAAATAATTTGTTTGTGCATAGGGGTCTTTAGGAGAGTGTGTACAGTGTAAACCAGAGAGCCTAGACAAAACCCATGAAATTGGACATGTGACCCTACTCTTTGTCACGTAGGTTTGGCATTAAAACCATGCTATTTAACTTGAGGACAGACCTTATGATCTAAAGAGCATATGTTAGACCATTTGGCCACTCCCGCCTCTGTCTTTCAGAGAAAGCATTCTCAATAATACTTTCTAGTTAAATGAAAAGTTTTTACCTGAAGAGGTAAAAATGCTCCACCCGATTCCACAATATAAAAGCAAGGAAGTCTGTTCTGTTCTGCTATTTCTTGAGCACGCAACTGTTTCTTCAATGTAATGGGATAAACTGAACCACCTTTTACAGTTGCATCATTAGCTATAATCATACAATATTTATTGTGTATTTTACCAATACCTGAAATAAAAAATAACAATTTAAGTAGTGTTGATACATGTATTTCTATTCAGTTACATATACCATCTTCAGAAAGGTAAATGATGTGCCTTTTAAAGAGTGTATAATATGTGGCAAGACCAAATTGCAATCTGTATGAAAATTATCATAAAACTCGGAAAAAACTGTACATAGTCGTAGGCTATACAACCAATAAATAACAAGAATTATGAAAATGATAGGGTAAGAAAAGAGTCACGACACTATTTGGTGATGGGATAAATAAGCTTCATCTATTCGTTTAAATTTCCTGGTCAAATAAAATATTGTTACCAGTACTGGCAGTAGGCTTATGCCAAGTAAATACAATTTTATGCCTGTCACCTATCCCCCACCCCACAATTCAAGAGCCATAAAAATAGCTATAGGGTCTACCTGTTACAATGCCTGTCCTTGGAACGTTTCCATATTTCATACCCATACCACCAATTGTTGATAACTCCAGGAACTGACTTTTATTGTCTAGTAAACTTTTAATTCGATCATTTACAAGCATTTTCTTCTGTTTCTTTACATGTCTTTCAATGGCCTTCTCGCCACCCCCTTTTAAAGTCAATTCTAATATGTTATTATAGTGACTCTCTTTTACTTTATACGCTTCTCTATTTCTTTCAAATTGATCACATTTTGTAATAGTACCATCTAAAACTGGAAATGGTTTAGTGGCTTCTTTTGGTAGATCCACCTTCCACAATGAATAATCTCTAAAGTGAAAGTAGTGGTTCGAAATTGAAAATATCTTCACAACATTCAAGAAAGATTTATTATTGTTGAGGGTTTGAAAAGGTCGATTACAAGTACAAATTGACCAAAATAACTTATGCATATTTGTCATAGTGTAATTTTGCCACACATGAATATCCAACAGTATTTTGGGTGGAAAATAAGCAGACTGCGTTGCATTTATTCTGCCCCAGAAATGTTGTCCTACACAAACACCAAGGCCAAAGTTCACCAAAATATTTCTATAAATAGAAAAGGGTTGCCTCCCTTAGTCAATTTGAACACGGAGTAGTACTACTAATTATAAATTATTGCCGCATAGTGTTAATTTCATGTCATATCTGGTGCTGTAACTATTATTTTGACATTCTGTTGATTCTAAATTTTATAGCAGCAAGGAACCAAGCATTTCGCCATTACCTGATCTAAATCTCGAAGAGGGATAGGCGTGCAGCCAAAATTACTAGCGTGGAGTCCCGCTACAAGGTCTTCGAAGCTAAACAAACTATAATTTTTGGAAAGCTTATAACACAAGAAACACAATTTCCGAAAGTTGCAAGCAAAATGTTTTCAATAAATACAAATTCCGAGGGTTTCAAGTAACATGTTTGCAATAACTCGATTCAGGGCCTGATGAAAATCGTCATAATTGCCAAGTAAATGCTATATTTATACTATATTATATTTATTGGTTAAATTTTGATTTAAATCAAAATGAAAAAAGAAAAAAAAGAAATGCACAAGGGAACATGGAATTTGGGAAATCCATTTATGGTGCAAGATACAAGGAGTTACCTCCCGTTAAGGTAAATATCAATAATTATTGATAACAATATTTAGTGTAAATAATTTATTCGATAAACTGAATAGGATTTAAAAACAGACAAGAGCCTATATAAATTCTCCCCAAAAATTATATCTACTATAGTATCTGTAAACCTTTTTTTTCAGATAGGATATGAGGCTAAAGTTCTAACAAATATTCAAACTGAATGAAATGAAATGGGGTATAACGTCCTACTATTCAGCCCCGACTCGGCTAATGAAGACAGAAATTCAAACTGAAACAAATCATCTATAAATAATTAGTTTTCTCACTAAAATTGATATATGTCAAAAACTAAACCGTGCTGTAAGGGAGTGGCAATAGATTGTTGTGGATGGGAGAGGGGGGGGGGGTGTAAATAATTATGCAGCTGGTATTTCTGCTTTCCATGCAAGTGTCATTAGTGCAGGAGCCGTTTTGACTCAGTAAGGTGCTGGCTCAATTGCCGCGGGGTCCAGGTTTGATCCTGGTCCGGCGGGTTTCTCCATGTCAGTGGTGCAGGACTTAAGGCTCAGTGAATAAGGCACTGGCTCACTAATCAGGAGGTCCGAGGTTTGATCCCCATGATGGTCTAGAAAGTTCTCCAGAATGGGCAGCGTCTAGTCAATGTGAAAATAAAACAAAAAGACTGTTAAAAGAGACCCAATTTGGTGTTTATACATTTAGTGACAGGGATAAGAATGATGACTAACTTTGATGACATTTAAAGTGAAGAGTAACTGCGTTATTTTGATTTTGATTTTAAATGAGTGTTTTATTTCAATGAATAATCAGTTTTTGCCTTATATCAATATTTGTAAGCAAATTACACAGTTATAGATACGGTTCAGTTTAAATATTTGTAATTTGGCCTTAAATCATATCTGAACTAGAGCTTTACAGTTAAATGTAATAAAATACTGTAGGGTCTAATTGAAAGGGTATGTGGGTTGTGGGTTTATATCTTAGTGGACAAGATCACGTGGTTTTAATACGATTTACAACAATACCAGTTGACAGATTTTCCGGCGTGGTTCTCCCTTGTCAGTGATGCAGGACGGAGGGGCTGACAAGGACAGCTGTCTAGTCGTTCGGATGGGACGAAAAACCGAGGTCCCGTGTACACATTGGCGTGCACGTAAAAGATCCCTTGGCAGTTGGAATTCGATATAAGAATAGGCCGTAGTGCCGCTGTCTGGGCAAAATTTCCCTCATAGCACACGTATGGCGTATGCCCGTCTTCATTAGCCCTCCGGCGTGGTTCTCCCTTGTCAGTGATGCAGGACGGAGGGGCTGACAAGGAAAGCTGTCTAGTCGTTCGGATGGGACGAAAAACCGAGGTCCCGTTATACATTGGCGTGCACGTAAAAGATCCCTTGGCAGTTGGAATTCGATATAAGGGTAGGCCGTAGTGCCGCTGTCCGGGCAAAATTTCCCTCATAGCACACTGTATGGCGTATGCCCGTCTTCATTAGCCCAGGTTAGGAGCAGAACAGTAGGACGCTAAACCCCATTTCATTTCATTAGCCCAGGTTAGGAGCAGAACAGTAGGACGTAACTCCATTTCATTTCATTTCATTTCAAGGTTGTGGACACTCTAGAAGTCACAATGTTGATCTGATTTTGATGAAACTTGAAATATATCTTTATAACCAAATGATCTTGGTTCCTGTCGATATTCGTGCATATCGGATCCTAACTTTCCGAATTATGGCCCTTGATTGTACGAAAAATCGCTTTTTGTTTAGCTTGTTCTCTATCCATCTCTTGCAAAATGTGGGCGTATCCTGCCCGGCAGCCGCTGATCTTTACTCTTTATCTACTAATAACACATATCTAAATCTTTCTTTTTTCAACATACAAACACTTCTACAATAAATAACAAAATCAAGATGTTAATTCAATTCATATTCAAATTTGCAACATGGGAATCACTAAGGCGATGCTGTATAGATTTAACTCTTTACGGCGCGAATAGATGTCTTTTCTATATAAAAAAGAAATCTAAAAAAATATTACGCAGATGTCAGTTTATTGGGCAACATTTAGATATAAAAAAAAGAATGTGCATTCTATTTTGTAACCTTAGCCTATTTTGAAATAAACCGACGTTGCCAGCTAATAATGATAGTCATTCGCTATTTAGCCTGTCGATCTGTATTGAGCGTGTGTTTCAGTGTTTGTGTCATAAATGGTAGGAGCTAGCATAGAGGTATTTTAATCCTAGATCTGGCAAACACAGTCGAGATGTCGTTCGTTCCTACATGTTTCAAACAGTGACGAGGGGACGCCATCACGTTATTAAGTTCAAATTAAACATAGCTTATTGACGATGTCTACAATATTTGAATTTCCCTGTCACCCAGTCTTTATTTGATCACTAGTTATGTAGTTGACCTCCTTGGTAGCCGGTCAACATTACTAGTTTTAATTTGCTACAAACTGTCAATGTACATGTTCCATTTTAAAAGTAGTCTGAGCAATATATCTGAGTTCTCTATGGTGATTTTCGTTATAATCACTTCTAAAGTGTCGCAAAACTTTTAAAGCCACGATGCATCAGAAATCTAACAAGCAATTTCTTGATTCATATTTAATACAAATAAGCATCGAAAAGATAGTAATTTATAAGATCAAATAGATAAAATCTTAGATTAGATGATACCTTGGCGTCTCTATTTATGGGTACTTGTTCTTCAGTTGTCAGCTGGCTAGTATAAGACAAAAATGATGACGGTGTCCAATCGGTAAAGTAGTATTGTCGAAACTTCCGTAGGATTAATCGACCTCATAATTAATAAGTGATCCAGGCACATCTGTGATTGACCTAGGTCTATATATTACAGATGCGATTAACGCAGATACTACGGATGTGGTCAACGCGGATATTATATACAGATTACACTGATCCCATCAAAGGAATATCTACCATAAACCTCCAATTGGCCTCACGCTACGACACAATAATATACATATGCGATTAACACAGATGTTACAGCTGTGATTAACGCAGATATTACAGATGTGATTAACGCAGATGTTACAGATGTGATTAACGTAGATGTGATTAACGCCGATATTACTTACAGCTGTGCTTAACAATCCAAATTTCACGCAGATGCAGATGCATTTAGGTAAAAATACCCCCAAATATGGCATGTCGAAATATAGTATTTGTATAAGGTTTTCAACCATATTACGATCAAATCCACACCTCGAGCGATTTGGCGAGCTCTCTCCAGATTTGTAGTTAATTACCACAGTTTGTACGATTAGATACATCCATTAGATTTCCTGCTATTGTGGTTATACTAGCGCTATAAATTTCAAAACAAAGCCATTCTAAGAATTGTAACAAATTGATTTAATCAACAATCATCTCCCCAACTTTATTTAATTTCGTTTTAACAGGGAAACTCATGCATGGATTAACCCAGTTTCAGCGTATCTTTCGTCAATTCAAGTTATTCGGGTATTAATACCAAGGATCTAGACCCCCTCTAGAGTTGACCTGAACTGAGTCTTATAATTAAGGATAGATAATTAATCTGATTAAGATACATGCATCATAGAATAGTAAAAGGATTCGGGAGGGTGTGTTAAACAACGCTTACAAAATACTTGAACTTTGCACAAAGTGTTTTAAAACACACACACCTTATATCGTGATGCAATTAACTACAGGTAATTACCAGCTGCAGCCCAGGTAAATACACGTATTGATGATGCATTGACCTTTCAGTTATCTCTCAGCATCAATCGACATTTGACCCCTACATGTTTATTTACCCAACTTGTAACTGTTATTTGATAAACTTGGGTGTTATAAGGAAATAGGAAAAAATCTATCGACCAAGGGGTCATTTCGTCCTTTAAGTCCCACCTTTCATAAAAGCAGCTCTTATACCCAAAAAGTTCAACTAATAGACAAAGGAAAGATAACACCCACCCTCCCCAATCTTAAAGTTCATGAATGTCAGTTTCCGAAGATACCGTTGTAATTCCTGTAATAATGGGGAATATTTGTAATCGTCATGTTTTGTATATTTAGTTGGTGCAACTATTAACATGGAACTAACATCTGAGATCAATTTTGGTACATGTCTAATTTAAAGTCTTTTAGACTTTAACCGTATCTGGCGTTAAATAGAGGCGAACCAACCAAATATCATGTCACCATTAGTAAATATCCTGCATTCGGAATCTGGACATGTTGTTTCAGATAAGTTAAATGAGAGTAGTATATTTTATGTTATGTATTATGTTTTTTTGTGCACATACATTTAACTGAGCTATGGTGGCCCAGTCCCACTCTACCCCCATTCACCAGCAAAATGAAGACATGTCTATAAGCGTACAGCAAGAGAACCCCACTGGATTTTTCGAAGCAAGAGTTCTTTCCCAAAGGTACCGTGATAAATCGCAACGATATACGTAGACATCGTAAAAATAT